CTTAATATGTTTAATTGTACACCCGTGACGACAAATTGTCGGCTTGTATAAAAGCAGTACCTATTATTCCATGTTTTCATTAGGATATATTGGATAGCATGGTAATTTGATTGGATTATACTTTTAGAAGAGCGACGAGTTATTTACCATATATAATAATAAGCTTTTTTTTTTGACGTAATGTTGTTATGTAATAAATGAAACTCCGCTTCATAGTATGATATACTAGAACACACAGAGAATGCTTGTAATTTACAATTCAGTATAGCGTCTGCATTAGATTAGCCATATCGGTCCCCAATAAGCTGATAATGGCAGATGCATTGATGGGAACATTTACAAATATGGTGTGAAAATCCTATTGACCGAGCAACCGCACAATGCGTCCAAACGAACAAAAACAAAAACAAATTAATATAAATTTGATGTACCCCGAAAGGGTTGTTTCCGAATCAATGCGCTAGAGCAGACATAAATAGGCGTGTTTGCTAATTAGCAATGTAACAGCTAAGTAACAAATACTGTCTTCTGAAATCAAGAGATTGTTATTTCGCTGCTAATAAATGACGAAAGTTGATATGAAACCACGTTGGTCATTTGTGGTAACTTTTGAAAAATGTGTTAAAAACTATTACAGAAATGAATGTGAAAGAAATCTTACCGATGTAATATATATATATATATAACAGGAAGATGACATGCTAATCAAACTGTACAAGAAGCACGGTTCTTCTTGGGCAAAAATTTCCCGTTTAATACCGCCCAAAAAACCAAAGCAATGTGCTGATCGGTAACGTATCACATTCTCGATGCAAAAAAAAAAACAACCACGTTTTTACGCTACTGCCAGTGCTTAATTAACGTTCATTTCATTTATTTTCTATTTTAAGCTGGCTCAACACCTTGCGTCCAAACAGTTGAGTATCTCTCGATTGCATTTCGATTGATGAATGATTAAATGATTTGCCTGTCTGATTCAAAGTTTTATTTGCATCTATATAGTTGATAGATCACCATTGAGAGCAGACGAAAGAAAAAAAATTCTGGAATTATACGATAGCATGGGCCCAAAGTGGGCTCGCATATCCGAATGTCTTTTGGGACGAACGAGCAGAATAGTCAAAAACTTTTATCATGCCGAAAAGCGCCGATCATCGTCAAGAATACGGAAAAAAATGGCTATATCCACGCTAATTTGTTAAGTGGCAGGCACGCGCTTTTTTCAACATAATATAATACGCAACATCACGTCGTCTTCAGCTACTTATTATATCGGAACAAACTAATACTACACCTCATAATACTTATGCGACTTTTTGGTCAACAACTATGCTATTTATTAAGAAAACTCGGATGTAAATTATGCAAAAAAACTGTACATTATACAAAGAGGGGGTATCTAAAAAAATCGCAATGTAATAGTAGATTTTATTATTACATTGCATTCTTGGCAAACTCATTCGATCGTTTAATGACGTTCTAATGACATGTCTAAGAAGTAAGGTATCTATGTTATTACCGAAAACTTAATTAATAAAAAAATTAATCATCTACAATGTCCTGGCAACTTTTTGTTAAGCTGTCTAGTGAATTGAATGCTTTATAATAGTGCTGTTTGATTATACAAATATTTTAAATGCCAAGTCTAGTAGCAACTTTATTTCCAACAACTTGTGTCTATGTAAATACACTTGTTGACATCAATGGTAGTAGTAAAAGGTAACACTCAAATTTTAGTTTTAAGAACAAAAAAAGTTTAGGGAGTATGTGAAGAGGGGGTATGTTTAATTACTCATGATAACCAACCAGCTCCTAACTCTTTTCACAAGTCTGCCATAAACTTCTCATGATTTTCTTTTAATTCCTCTTTTTGTTGTCTTAAATCTCCTACGAATCCAACAAATTTATCAAAAACAAAACCCCAAAAGACACTAAAATAGTCTTTTCATTTTTGATTCAAAAGGAAGATGAATCTCTAGTCCCAATAATAAACATTCTTCCCAATATTCGGCTTTTTAATTTATAAAATTTGCTAGACAACAAGATTTAAGTATCAAGTCTGCACGTTTAGTTAAAAGTACAATTAGACATGCAAGCAAACCTATTTTGCATGTTAAAGCCTAATTTATGGTCATTTGTTGTTACGTGTAATGCCCATTCTCGTGAAATATCATCATTGGCTCACATTTATAACAAATACCTTAATTTTAGTGTTAATATCCCGGACGCGACGCGGCATATCGTGTAACGTCTCTGTTTGAACTTCTCTTTCTTCCTTTCGTTCTTGCTCTTGGATTTATAAACTTTAACGATCATAAGGAGAAACCGGTAATCAAAGAATGCCTAAAAATGTACCCACGAAACAAAAGTACCCGTCTCATCAATAAGACTTGACGTTCCTGGAATGTCCGCGAAAAACGAATGGCTGTTCACCATTTCAACGTGTTCAAAAAGTGAAAGCGACTGCAAAGCGTTCGAAACAAGTCCGTAACATGTGTATGTATTGATCATTATGCCAAGTGTGTGTTTATTACTTTTAACAGAATGGCCACAAATCAAAAAGGCCAAAAATGTTATTATTATTATATTAATACCCGGGTGTAAATCTCTGAAACAATGTTGGAGTTTTACGGCAATCCCTAAATAACTTCACATAATCATGACCAATTAGATTATTGTAAATCAAAAATCGATCGTTATGTTTGATCATCGTCAATTATCGATTACTATTACCAGAACGGGGGTTGACTTTACGGACGATCCAGTGCTTGCTTGCGCAGATAATTCGTCTATCCCAGACCAATGTACGCTGTGAGCTTTTGTTTATTTCCGACAAGGGATGTTATATTCCAGACTAAAGTCACAACGCGGTCGATGCTGCTTGGTCAATAGTTTCACAATGGATTGGTAATGTCTGATCGTTTGCTATAACATCAATCGCTTCTGTAATTTGCTCAAGTAAACTTTCTGGAAATGGTTGAAAATTGAGTAATAGGCTCAAACATTTCATATTAACAGAACCCCAAACTCTCAAGTAACTGATAAACGAAAATCTCACCAGCCGTCTGCACTGCTTTTCGATAGTTTTCATTGGCTTCTTGCAATTCCTTCTCCAATTGACTAATAGATTCAAGCTAAATGGAAATTATATCAATATCGCAGTCAAAAAATCTCCACAGCATGCTAAATAAAACTTACCTGTTCTTCCTCCGTACGTGTGGCTCCAGGCAAATTATCGATCAATATTTCAACCTGTTTCGCTTTTCTACATATATCGGTCACCAAGTCATGTTGCACCTCTGCTCGGAATAATTCGAGTGAGTATCATTCATTCGGAACGACCATAAAAAGGCATAAAATGCTGCTCACTCTTGAATTCTGCTGGATCCTGAACATGTGCTTGGCGCAATAGAAAAAAAAATACACTTGAGTGTCGCTGTACAATCAAAATTTGGACCACATTTGCGGATAAAAGAATCGTATGCTCACGTTGGCTAAGATAATTGACGCTTAAGGAGAATAGTCTCGCCATCTATAGACATGAACAAGCCAAGTATGTCTAGTCAGTCAAGGCCCTTCCTTATCCACCACATATTTCACTGATCAAACAAACTGCTATATCTCATTGATTGCTAGTCTCTCTACCTGGTCTAAGGCGTCCTGTAATTGCGTTAAACGGTCCATATTTGAAGTAGCCTCTTTCAAAGTTTCCGGTCGTAAAGACTGAGAAGTAGGTTGCATCAAGACAGAATTCAACTAAGAAAAGTTCTACGATGGTCTTCGTTTTTCTATAATAACCGTATAGATTCCCTTCATGAGGCAAACTCTGAGTGGATCAGTTTGCGGAAAAGGAACGGATTAGGAATTTTATCGTATAATCTTAATCACGTGACTTTAGATAACTGCCCCCGTGATCAATATTTTTTACGTGATTAATTTCAAGTCACTCTTCAACCTGTTTCAGCTACCAGCCCCTACATTAATTATACTACTAAAAAGTTGTTAACGGACAAATTGAACGTATGGCTTTAAGCTAGTATTTTCGCTAAACACACGTACATTTATCTTATATTAGCCATGTGAAAGTCCTTTCAAGATTCGAAAATAAACGAAAAGCATTTTGGTCGTAATCTCTTCACGTCCATTAATTCAACTCTCTTTATAAAAACTTCTTGTACAGAGAATGTCTTACGACCACCTGTTATGCTTTGCATCTGGTTAATAGTAATTAAAGTAATTTACCACTCGTTTTTGTTCAATCTAATTTTGTCACAGACCGATTCAAGATTTCTCTCACTCTGTTAATTTAATAATACACCGTCGTGGGTTACTTATTGTTCTAATAATTTTGTTTTTTTTAAGAGAGCTTTGAATGAATTTTTTCACTGATCTGCAAACCTGGCTTTCACTTACTGCATGAAACGTATATGGTAATAACTGACACAGAATAATTCAAAGCACACGTTCAACATATCAAAAAAATGTATTGCCGAAATAGGGTTAGGCCAATTGACTATCTGAAACATCCAATGGTGCAAATTTGATGTCAGTAAAATTGGTTTAAAAGCTACCATACGAAAGTTTTTATAAGAATGGTTTACCTTGCCGTCGTTTTGCAGTAGACGTTATGAGTGGCTTGGCGTGTAAATGTGTTTATAAAATAAAACTCATTATAAAAAGTAAAGTAACATGTTTTCAAATGGAAACAATTCACTAAAATTAGAAAAGTAGACATTTAATAGAAATAATTTTATGGAGGCGAATTACTAGAAAATTTAATGTGCGTGACTCAAAAATACTACTTATCTACAGAGTCTGTATGGTATATTCCTCGACGATGACTACTATTAATTAAGGTTACTATGTGGTATCAAACGTCATCGTCGGCAGAGTACCAATAATATTAGAACGCAAGTTACATGAAACAGTAAAAAGCATTGTTTATTTACAAAGTTTGCGCGCAACATATCCGAATTCCAAAACACTAAACTATGCTCAGATGTAAACTTTTTGTGACAAACCGGCTATTACAATAGTTAAACAAAAATCTCTGTAGTTTGTTCAGAATCGTACTGACAGTTACAGCATAGGAAAATGGCAACTCGATTAGATATATACGAAGCGTAACTTTTGTTACATTAATTTGATTTTAAGGTTTAGTTCTAATTAATATGGCTTTATAGTTTAAAATATATGTTTGATTTTAAATTATTCAATATATAATAAAAAACCGAGGTGTAATTTTTCAAGCGAAACAGAAACTAAAAAAATACGTTAATATTATCTGATAATACAACGTTGTGATTTATACTTTATTCAACAATCCTCCCTTCTAAGCCTCATCCATATACTTTCATAACTTTTTGTAAATTTTCGGATTGTTGTAATGGGAATACTTCCTGTTTGCTATTTGTAGTTGACGTTTACTAGGACGAGGCATTCTATGAAAACTTATCAATTAGTATACGACCAATGCAAATGGTATATCACATGATAATAAATTATTGAATATATCGTATATCGTTCACATTTCATTCATTTTTTAATACTTGTCCAGCGTAATTGCAAAAACCGTTCAACCGTTTTTTTCGTTACACTGTATCAACGATATTGTAATCGCCGATAGTTTATTACTTCTCGACGCAAAGGACCAATGCCACAGATGGTTAAATATAACGTAAATCCATAAATCTAAGTTGCAGCTATTATTCGTTATAGTTTTATGAACTCGTTATACTAGCAATTGATTACTTCGATTAAGAACGAAATCTAAAAAACCAACACTGTAGTCCGCTGACGTGTTAGACGTATAAAATAGGGCGACATTGCTGGAAATTTGGGTTAAGAAAAACCATTATTAGCTGAACTTAGCACTTCGCTCCCTGAAGGGTAATCTAAACCAACAATTTATCAATTACAAAAAATGCATCTTAATATTTCCGATAAACAATTCCTGTTACTATTGCCGTAATCGCAATCTACGGATTTTATACCCACGGCATCGTATCGATAGAGACACATTTTAATATCTCTAAAGATATAACAATTTATATTTTATATAATTTCTGTTGTAGCAGTCAATTCTTATAAGTTGAAACCATTAGAGACTGCTGTTTTAACCCTCAATAATGAAATTGCACGAATGCGCTGAAGCGGAATGGAAGAATGATGTTCAAAGTACAGGTTTGTGAGCAATGGCAAATTCAGACATGTAAAATCGAACCCGTATTAATGTCGTCCACTAATTAGGGCGAGAATCTGCACAAAGCTACAGATCTGAATACTCTATTGAAACAAAACCTCTTTGGGTCGAATTTACCGCTCTATTTAACGAGTGACGTTCACTCGTAAAACAGTATAGCATTTTATCAGAAGAAATTGGTCTCAACTCTGTCACAACTGGCTCCTGTTATTGGCACCAAAGATGTCCACAGAGAACGTCATTAGACAAATTGAAGCTTGGATTGAGAAAGAAAGCCAGAAAAAAGACAGTAGTAAAAATAACTTTTCAAGTAGCGGTAGAAATATATTTTTGAGCGGCTCGCGATGGCAGTAATGACATGACAACACTAGTTAATATTTGCGAGCCCAAAAAATAAGAGTAGTTATCGTCTTGCCGTATGGCTGAGACAAGCTTTGTTTTGGGTCTGACTACTTCTAGTGCTCTGAGAAAGTGGTACCACACAGCAAATCCTCAAAGTTTCGCTTCTCAAATGCTAGTTTGCCTCCCATGCAAGTTCGCGTTTATTTACTATCACGAAGCGTAACTTTAATGATCACATGTCAGCGAAATTGACATTGTAAAGCGTAAACGAAGTTTTTATTGATGAGAAAGCAGAAATTTTTGTTCCGCGCAATTTACGTAACGTCAAAAATATACTAGCAATAGTCATGTGCCTACTGCGTCTGTGAACTCCAAGTTCACAAGTAATAAAATATCTGATTGCGCAACACAGATTCACAAATTGGTTCTATAACTTGATGTGCATAAAAGTGCCACCCAACGAAATAGTATCACGTGTTTGTGTAAGTAAAACGTATAAAGAAGGTAGATCGCGACGTTTTTTCACCAAATCATACGCAAAACAATGGACGCGCTGGGACTCGGTTGCTTTTACTTAAAATATGGTCGAGACTTTCCAACAGCAACTGAGACGGAGGTCGAAGATGCATACAACAAATATAAAGACTTTTATGCCAAGTACCATAGCGACCACCCCGCAGTAATCACAGACTGCTATGCTGAATATCTTGCAACACTCGATAAGCAAGGTAAGCAAACAAGCGACACACGTTTACTGGGAGGATAGAGGAGCAACGGGGAGAAGAGTTTGAATACTGTTACTGGTTTGTACTATATTGCAAGAGAGAGAGAGGCAGTTGGGCGTTGTGAGTTGGGGCAGAGCTGTGTCGTAGAGACATTACGGGGTTCATAGCAGTAATGGAAAGAGTAGTTGGAATTTCATTATATAAACAACTCTTCCTCCAGGCGGAAAAAGTAAGTTAGTTACTGCCGAAGGGTAAAATTGAAAGCGGAACTACTTCCCTGGGGTAGCTTCATCTCTTGTAATGAAATATTATATTCGTTATTTATTATTGAATTTATTGAAATTATTATCGATCGTATTATTATTATTTATAAACGTATTGGCTTTCTAATGCTTTTTGAAACCTTGACATTGACATATTGTAACCTAATTTATTATTATTTTTTATAATAGCCCGCAACGTCGCGGAGAACATAGTCGCCGCAGCCGCGGCTGAAGGCCCTGGCACCGTGCCAGTATTGGTGGCCCAGGGGTTCACAGAGGACGCTCGAACGTATGCAAGGATTAATGGAGTTGTCCTCTGTGACCACGAAGACGTGGCCAATCAACTGGTGCTCTCTTCCGTGCGCCACAATGCGGAGAGGAGGGCGCGGGAGGAGGAGTTGGGCAGGCGGCAGGGTGAGTCGGCTGCGCTGCACCAGTTGTCCGCGGAGATGATGGCTGGGCAGCGGCAGTTGGCCGAGGATATGGTCGCGGGGTTTGCTGCGCAGCGGCGTGCGTTTGCGAGATTGGAGAGGATGGTTTTTGTTGTATTAATGGTGGTTGTGGCCAGATGGCTTTTATAAAATCCTTTTATTCAAATGGGCCTTATTAATTTGAGAACTATTTTCAGATCAGTGAAAGTGTCATTATGTTGCGTTTCAATATTATGTCTTGAGTTACATATTAATATAGTTCATAAAGGGAACGCGAAATGATGAGTTCGGATAAGCGAGTAATACATAGGATGGAGAATGCATATTAGACGATTAGTACCCGTGACTGTAAATGTGAACGAAAACTGCATCAATGTTGAGCAGCAATAGATGTTCAACAATAATCTACGCTGTATTGGTACATTATTTTTAATATATCACCGCAGCTCATAGATCTTGTTTTCATTATCGTTGCATGTAATGGAATAGGTGAAAATCCTTTCACTGAGCATTCGTTGAGTAATTATTTACCCGAAGGTCAAATGTATATATTAATCAGATTGTAAATTTTGTCAACCAACGACGTAATGCTTTTCATACATCACTGTAAATAAACAATTCTCTTCAGATGCAAACTCAAAATTGTACTTAATAATCCATGTCAATTCTTTGCACACACATGGACAACGGTAACGTTTAACATGTATGTAAGTTTTATAAGCATAGGATTCTTGGTTGCCGATTTAAGGTTTCGCGATGCGATGATTGATTTCACGTTTTCGAAAAATCAAGCAGATTGTTATATGCAAACTCAAAATTGTACTTAATAATCCATGTCAATTCTTTGCACACACATGGACAACGGTAACGTTTAACATGCATGTAAGTTTTATAAGCATAGGATTCTTGGTTGCTGATTTAGGGTTTCTAGTGATTGAGTTAAAATTGATTTCGCGTTTTAAGCAAATTGTTATATGCAAACTCAAAATTGTACTTAATATTCTGTGTCAATTCTTTGCACACACATGGACAGCAGTTACTTTTAACATGTATGTAAGTTTTATAAGCATAGGATTATTGGTTGCCGATTTAGGGTTTCGCGATGCGATGATTAATTTCACGTTTTCGAAAAATCAAGCAGATTGTTATATGCAAACTCAAAATTGTACTTAATAATCCATGTCAATTCTTTGCACACACATGGACAACGGTAACGTTCAACATGCATGTAAGTTTTATAAGCATAGGATTCTTGGTTGCCGATTTAGGATTTCTAGTGATTGGGTTGAAATTGATTTCGCGTTTTCAAGCAGATTGTTATATGCAAACTCAAAATTGTACTTAATATTCTGTGTCAATTCTTTGCGCACACTTGGACAACAGTTACTTTTAACATGCATGTAAATCTCATGAGCATACGATTCTTGGTTGCCGATTTATATTTAGGATTTCTAGTGATTGGGTTGAAATTAATTTCGCGTCTTCGACAAGCCAGTCATTATATATACATTATACCATTACAGTCCTAATTTCTCAATACGCTATCATAAGATGAGGGTAACAATGAAGAAAGTTAGTCAGAAGCACGTTTCTTCATGATTAATAATGTAACTTGTTCTCGTATGGTACTGCAATAGTAATAGGGAAGCCTACATGGTAATGTAACCTTACATATACTGGCAGCTAACAGTTGGTGTTTATGTAATTCTTGGTAGCTGTTGTAATTGAAAGTTGTATTTCAAAACATATAAGGGTGACTTTAGTGGCCTGCTAACAGAATAGTTTCAGATTGCGCATTGCGCTCTCGCTTTACCCATATATGTATATATATGTACTACTTACGAAAGCCTTCCTTCCCTCTTTTCTCGAAAATGGTTGTTTATGAATAGAATTCTATTAACATAAGTATAGCCATTGCCAGCGTCTAAGAAACTATAATGCTACTATATTTTGCCGGGTGAAACTTTGTCAACAGATTCTTTTAAAAAGGTGTTCGATTGTGACATTCTATACCTTTGTTATGCAGCAAAATCCAACCCCTAATTTTACATATGTGTGACCTTCGGAAAATGATCGACAAAAATTTCGGAAAACACGAAATGTTCGGTGACTATACCATGCTTGAGTCTTGCCAGCCCCCCACAACATCATTACCCAGCTTCAAACACTTGTTAATCAGTTCATCTGGAAAGGCAGACAATACCATCCCAAACTCGAGATTGCCTCCCTGGAACACTCCAGAGGAGGAATGAACTTAACCAAGGAGCAAGTGAATAAAATGAAGATCTCCTTTTTGCGAATTTCTGGCTTTAATGGGCAGATGTTATTAGAAGACTTAATTAATGGCTTTTACCTGGCATAACATTTGAGATACCACCAAATTGGCTCACATCAGAAAGTTAAAGTCAACAGTGAAAATATTTAAATACGTAATTGTAAGTATTATTATGGAATACTGGAAATGTGCAGTGCGAGTTAGTTTTTGGGCATCAAAAGATCTAACGTATCATGTCAACAGGAAAAGTATGAAGAAGTCGATGACATGCTTTATGAACTTGAAGACCATGGGTATAATTCCCTCAATCAAGTCTTCAATGTCAAGGTTGACAATGGATCATCGCATTACAAATCAAACTTTATCCATGATCCATGGTGGGACATCAAAAAATAATGTTTCTTCCCAATTAATGATTGCGTTTGAAGAAATGGAAAGTAAGCATGGATAAAAGTATTATACACAGTGAAGTCCGCTTTAACGAAGGACCGTTTTAACGAAGATGGCCTTATAACGAAGCTTTTTCAGGAACCGGTTCATTTGTATATGCTTAGCTGCCGGTTTACGAAGATTTATAATTAAAATCTGTATAACGATATAGCGAAGAAATTCAAACCCACTATAAGATAAACCCATTCAGTTTAACGAAGATTTCCTAAATTAGTATGATATACCGAAATTTTGTTGCAATAGCGAAGTCCGGTATATTATAACGAAGTTTGGTATATTATGACGAAGTTCGTTATAGTGTTATTACTGTATATAGAAATTTGAACAACACTACTGCTGTAACGGCTCTTGATAACATTGTCTTATTTTGTCAGCAGCAAAGATTTAAGTGTCGACATTCAAGTATATAGTCAGCTAAAGCAACTGCGTAAACAAATTGTTGAAAACATGTTTAGAGGATTTTATTCACTTCGAAATTCAATAGAGAAACAGGATGGAATGTACGGTACAGCACAGAAGTAAACGAATAAAATCCACTTTAACGAATATTACGTGATTATATATAAAAGTTCGTTATATAGTTAAAAGTCCGCTTTAACGAATAGTCCGCATTAACGAAGTTTTTTTGGCGGAACGGAGCTCTTCGTTAAAGCGGACTTCACTGTGTAGATAATTGTATTGTGGAGAAAGCAGAGAAATCGATGATAATTTACTTCTATTAGTTCAAAATGGTTTGTATCAATAAAAAAACAATAAAACTTAATAATAATAGAGCATTTACTAATTTGTAGTATGCCATTTACTTGTACACCAATTGACAGCTTGATTCAATCCTCCTTGGAAAATGTAAACGAAGACTTACGACTTAAATGGATTTCGTGCTCAAATATTACAGACGTGGAGCCAACTCAAATTAACAACGTCTACTGCGCTATTTGCACGGCGGCGGAAACGATGATAACAATGATACTTGTGAATGAGTTTGCTAGGATACATTCACTTCCGTGGCAAAAGTCCCCAAACGCAATTTATATATGTGATTTGCACCAACGTCCTCAAACCCGTAACTAACGTTAATGTATTAGCAACACATCGCTTATAATACTCGATTTCATATCAAGCGCTAAATAGGTTTCAGCAAAAAAACGAGTTTTTTATGATTCGAACCTTTTGCTCGCTCTTAATATTAGTTGACATCTGCAATTAATTCAAGAGTATAACTAATGGACACTTGCATAACACCGCTTATTCACATACATTCCCGATCCAGCTAGTCCGGTGTGACGATCACTTAATCGTTTCACTGCATTTGCGTTACAAAATAGGCATGGGGTTGGTGAGAACAAACATATCGTCTTAAATGTTGTGAGGCTTATCAAAGTGGTATCCCAACAGTACCTGTAAAAGCATAGGACACATGATTTTCTTCATTTCTCGGTATATGCATACTAATACCGGACAAAAATCGCTGTGCCAAACCGGTATAAACAGAGTTGACTGTACATTAATCAGACTGTTGCAATCACACAGAGTTCTGTCATATCGTTTTGTGCATAAATTGCTACCACTGATGGTAAAACATAATTTATAAGGCTGAAAATAGGTGGTTGTGGTTGAGAGTAGGCATTCTATGGTAGAATGTTAACGTTAATAATACACTTATTGCCGTAGCTTATATAGTTTAATTAACGTAAACTGTTTAACGCTAGCGTATAAGGAATAATTATAATAACATATACAATATTCACCACTAATGTCAGGCCGAATCGTAGTGTAATAGCAATCCGTATAACATCTGCAACCCTTGATGTATCTTAAATAAAGAGCGATATGTAAGAGTCGTGTTAAAGCGTCTGCAATTAAGACATGAGGATGTACAAAAAGCCGAAACAGAACTTTGTATCATACATTTGTCGAACTGTAAGGGGAAAAAAACAAGAATAAATTATACACTCTAGAAAAGCTTAAATATCAGACAAACGATGAGCGATATACTAATATGCCAGATAACTTTTCTCTGAGCGCGATTTACACGTAGTCCATAAAAGCTAACCTCTATAGCCGAGTGACATAATCGTAAAAATTTTATCTAAAAGCTGTACTACTACGCCAAGCATTGTTAATATAACTAATTGCATTAAAAATAGAGGTTTAGGAAATTCGCCACAAATGTTGTTTGAGCAACTTGGTCCGGATCCGCTATATCACTGCTTTAATATAAATGTCCGATATAACACTTATAAAAATTCCGTCCCAGCAAAAAAGCCCGTATAAGGCAAAATCCGTTATATCGACTTTCACTGTGTACAGCATTTTTTATCAGACAAACTTGTCAAGAAAAAGCCACGCCACGCTATACCGACTTGCATAAAGCCGAAGTTATCAAATTTTATTATTAATTTACGTTAAAAGATAAACCGACGGTTTTCGAACTGACACGATATGCCGAGGTTGTCACGTGAATTGTATTAATTAATTTCGTCTTTGAATCCATTGTAAGTATCCAGCAGGTTTGTTTACCGATTTTGTCTTTTCCAGTTACAGCATTCCAGTCAACGTATTGGCACGTCACGTATTCTTTGTGGAAAAGTATTTTCGTTTAAACACGAGTTGCCTCGTACAAATAACCAGAACGAACGAAAAGTTCAACAAGTGAGTTCTTCAAACATTATGTTCATAAGAGGCAATTTGAAAAATAAAACACCAGAGAGAAAAAATGAAACTATGACACTGACTGACTTCGAAAAACAAGCGCTTTCTATTAAAGCGCAAGAGTATTCTAATTTTACGTTGTAATTGAGTTTTGAATAAAACCCAACACTATTCATGATATTCTTGCAGAAAGAGAAGTTTGGTTAGTAGATCTCGATATAACGACACGCTCGATCCAATGGCCACTATATCAAATATGTCCTTATATAAAAGTATTGTTATTTATACAACCACTACATTCTATCAAACATTGAATAACCGCAGAAAATAAATTCGTGAAAGTGGAAGAGATGGCCAGTTTGTGTGAATATAAAATTGGCACGACAAAGAATTCTTTTAAATGGCAACTCGAACTCGCACTCCCATCCTTCAACTGCAAGAAGGAATAACAAATTATTTTAGTGAAATGATCAGACATATATTCCCCGGAATAATAGAGACGGGAAGTTTCAAAATGACTGAACAGAGATTTAGACGATATCTGAAGGGGCACAAATGAGGTAAATGTGTTGGAAGAAATCCGTCCTGCTTCACTGGTAGTATATATCCGAGGCTGGGAATTAAAGGGTGGGAAGTATGACTGTATTACAAATTTAGCAATAACATACTGCCTCGAAAATCAGACTTAAATTTGAAAAGCATCAGATCATGTATAATGAAAAGTTCAAATATAATTATCAACTTTATGGTTGAAGACACAGTCTGTGAGACTACCGCATTCACTGTTAGTCAGGGAGGCATGAGTTTCAACGTTGGCCGTAAACTGAATCAGTTTACGGCTACACATAGCTTTCAAATTGTAAATGATGTCAGCATAATATAATCATATGATATCATTGGAGGACAATTTCGAAATACGCCAAGTGCCAACGTTTACTTTGTCCGATTTCGTTGTTTGCATAAAGTGCTCATGACTCGGACTGACTAGTTTCTATACAATAATGATAATTTGCCCTGCCAGTTGACTATTCAAAAGAATGATACACTGTGTTGTACTTTATTTATAAATAGTATACTTGCAATTTTATGTCCGAGTTTATGAAATTGAATATCGATGTGTCTTCTTTACAAAATGTCTTGGATATTCGCATCTGATTTACTTGACATGTAAAGTACGCGAATTCTTGCAGTGCCTGCAGAGTACTTGTAAAGTATTGACAAACATTGTAAACTTGCGCTACGTGTTTTGAACCTCGTTCGGTATATTTTTTTGCACAAGCATTGTATTTACTCGATACGGATCTATGACGCATCTGTAAAGAATAACACATGATGGGGGAAAAAAAGGGGCGAGACTTTTCATTATCGAGCTATACGTTTGTTTACTTTTTATGAAGAGCTTTCCAGAAAATTTGCTTATTGCCGTTCGAGGTTTCCGTGAGCATATACTCGATTATCACCGCGAAACGTAATAGTATTATCATTATGATGATCGTAGTCGTAAATAAACATATGATATATTCGTGCTAGATCAAATAATTTGCGTCATAAAATGTCATTCGCGGTTAAGAACATATGATCGAAAAACGGTTATATAATACACAAGTGCCCGCGGGAGAAGTTTAAAAATCAAAACGAAAGGAGTGCAGAAAAAACCTGACTGATAAATAACTTTTTCGAGACAATTGAAAACGATAATGTCACTGTTTCAAGGTGGAGACGATAACCAGGATGTTGCACCTATCTCGGGAGCAACTCCGGAAGGCATTGCTCAAGGGATAGAATCTATTGTGGACACGACCTTGCGAGAAGTTGACTCGATGCGTGATAAGGCTGCGGACGTGGCGGGTAGGACCAAGGATATGGCGATGCGTTCTACGGAATCGGTGAAGAAAACCAGCAAAGGACTGGTCACCCATCCCAGAGACTACTTACAACCGGTTGCCGAAAAAGCTGGCTGGTACTGGAGCAATCTTCCGTTTGTCCGTTGGTTTACTTACACGGCGAGCATTTTCAGCTCGGTTCCGATTGCGATGTTTGTTACTTGGCTAGCTATTACTGGTCTGATTGTGTTCTCCATCGCGAGCATAGGGTTCTTAATTTCTGAAGGATTCTTCTTCTTGCTGGGCAGTGCCGTATTTGTGCCCGTTGTTGGATTTGTACTCGTTGCTGCTCTGGGCACTGGTGCCTTCTTCTCTTTCGTTTACTACGGGCTCCGGATTTTGAAATTTGTGACCAGCCGCGTATTATATGCTCTGGGTATCTTGTCTAAAGAAGTAGCGGTGGACACTCGTGGTTCGGTAGCGGGTTTCAAGAGAGGCGTGACACATGCTTACGATCGTGAGACAAGAGAGAATCGTTAATGATGTTATAAAAATGTGCGCTGGGCTTATTAAGAGTGTGATTGAAAAGCTCGGAATGTAGTAAAGAAAAAAAAAATTATTTCCTCCATTAGTTTCTTTCGTTCTGTCTTTGCTTTATTATATTATTCATCAACGTTACAACAATAAAACCGCATAATTTGTTGTCAACTGGCCTTCGACTATGACTATTCTAAGTAGTTGTGTTAGAGTTATGACCCACTACTATTTATTAATGATTCGCCTACCGGCCTAATTAATATGTGTTATACGAGAGAGATGCAATTTTTCAACCGAGTCTTTGATGTCCCACATTTCGCCCATCATTTAAATTAGCCACAAAGCTATTGCGTTATATTTATTTTTCGTTGGTGCGAAACCAGCAATGATCATCGAGAGGGATTTCCCACAATCAAAACGCCTCACGTCAAGTATCAAACATGTACGTCTTGTTTGTTTTGTTTTTAAAAATGGTTAATGCTCAACATTTTTTTATAGATGGCGTGCGCAACTACTATTCTGACATTGTGTAACATGCTTAATTGCCTCCCAATGCTTATTTTATTATTTTGATCATATATTATTCGTAATTTGCATAATTTGTATGATTTGACCCCCCTTACTTATAAACTTAATCACAAGTTCGAACTGTGTACATAGTGCGATCTTTGGCGACGAAAAGTTACGACAACTCGCGAAAGAAATTTATGAGATAAATAGAAATATAGTAAAAGTAAAAAGAACGGTAGTGATTGTAGTGGACATCCGAGGATGGACGAACCCTCCCTCCTCCCTCCCAAAAAACGAGGTGATCAGTAATTCAGCATCAATTATTCGGTTTGAACTGACCGTTCCACTCTCTTTCGATCCAAGAGAGCATCACCTCGATTTCTTCTGGCGATGACGATTCCTCATCATTGCCCAGGTCTTCTGTCTGGTCGTCGTTTAACTCCGACTTTAAGGTGCTTAACAACTGCTCTATATCCCATTTTTGGTTTATTGGCATCTGCTTCCACCAGATTGACGCAATTGTTGAAACGGTTGGCATAGACACCTTTCCGTAATGACTTTGTAATTGCTTCTGGACCCAACGTCTGTACTGGAAGAAAACTGGTTTAGGCCTTGATCTGGAACGCATCGTTTTTGCCTGCTGACGGGCCTTCTTCTTTGAATTATACTGATACTGAATAAACTTCATTTGATCGCAATTGTTAATTCGGTAAGCCAGACAAGTTTGTGGGTTCGTCTCTATCCTAAGACTGTCCATGGGGAATGCTGTGGGTTTATATAACTGAAGGACTCAACTTGTTTCGTTTATTTCTTTGTTTTTGGTGCTTTTTCGAAGGTGAATGTGGAATTTGGGGGGCGTAATAATAGTAAGCATTGTTTCTGGTTAATTGAAGGGAATGTGTGTTTAATGAATGTTCGCTGGGAACATAGAATTCGGGGCGTAGTAGTAATAATAGCATGTTTCTGGTTCATTGTCAATAATTGTTCGCTGAGAACATAGAATTCAGGCGTAGTAGTGATAGTAGTATTGTTTCTGGTTAATTGAAGGAATTCTTGCTCCTCAATTTATTATGTTTGCTGGGAACATAGGATTCAGGCGTAGTAACAGTAGTATTATTTCTGGGTATTTGAAGGAATTCGTTTACCGTACAACCTAAATAAATATCTGTCGCGCGTAATTGCAACAATTGCTTAATTGTTTAATGTTTGTCAGTATACTGGATACTCTTACCGGGGACAAACGATCTTAATAAGTTACTGACTTATTTGGATATTCGCGTTCCTTGATTGATAATGCCTTATTTGGTAATGAGTGCAAATCACGCAGCCATTATATATTATATACAACCCCGTATTAGTATGCAGTTTTTCACCCGGAAAATTTTTTTACGCTGTGTAACGTACTAAAATTCGGAGATCATAGATCCAGCATGCACGAATGCGACTAACAGTCTACTCATTTAATCCTTTTATGAATTTAAAAGCCCCGCTCAACACCGCTCATTACTGCGTCATCTGCCGCTTTTATGCGGTAGTTCTATTTTTTCCTATCATGTGTCCGACCAACTTATTTGTGTGACAAGCGCGTAAATGACTATATTATAAATCATAGATAAAAGGAACGTTTTCGTTTGTATGATCTATTGTGATTACTAATGCAGTTCATAAGTAAAAAATTGTTCCAATTTTTTATATATTAATGTAATATTATTTATAAAAACCAAAAACGGCCCAACCAACCCCGAAATTAGCCAACTCTTCTGTTTGGCTGACGTAAAGTGTGCTCCCTTCAAAATCTGCTAATATCCCGACCAAATACAAATGTCAAAAACCTACATATTATAACGTAAAGATTAGATTATAACACTCCGGAAAAAAGGTTGTAAAAAAATCAAGTAGAACCTACCAATACATCGGAATCAATATTCTATTCCGCAACGAGATCGTCATAGTGAGATATGCCGATCGCCAAAATATCCAAGCAAGCATTCCGCTTTCTTTAGCTCTTGGATCTACGGCTGTCATATCTACCAACGCTTCTTTTTGCCCTATATATGCTAGGCTAATATCGGCATAGCATGTTGAAATTAGATTATGGACCAGGAAACAATAAAAAGACAATTTGAAATGATATGGTCCTGGAGAAATTACCTTCCCTGAGCAAAAGCAGGAAAATGTTTGCGTTAGTTATAGAATAACAAGGGGCGACGCCATCACCAGACAGTACTTACCATATTAAAGAATTTGAATGGCTTGACTTCAGCCAACGGGTCTCGTCCGAGTTTATTAATCGCTAAACATTTCCATAATATTTTAGTCCTTTTACCTATCATCTCCCCCACCCCTTCCTCAAATAAATTATCTCTTACCCTTTCTCAAATAGACCGCCTTCTGATTCGCGACCTGCGCTGTAGCAGGTAAATCGTAATCTTTTATCGTCGCACAATCTCCGAGGGCATATACATTCTCTATCGGTGCTCCGGTATCTTTGTCTAGTACTTGTAGATAAGGATCTGTTAAGAGTCGTTTGGCAGACTTATCCTTCATTATTCGATCACCGACCGCTCGAGTGAAAGGATTGTCTGTCAGGCCGGTCGCCCAGACTAGCAGACTGTTAAAAAATCAATTCGAGTTGACGGTAATGGTAGCAAACTGGCCCCGTTAGTATTGTGAAAACAGAAAAAGAGAGATAGAAATAGATAGATAGATAGATAGATAGATAGATAGATAGATAGATAGATAGATAGATAGAGAGCAAATGTACAGACACGATAATTGAAATTCAAAGATGCCTCTTAATTGGTCAACACCAACAGCAACATACCCGTATGGTACCTCCTCTTCTCCTTCGATAACTAACGTTTTCTCGTTAACTTTCAACACTTTACGCTTAGTCTTAATACGTATTCCTTTTCTCATGAATTTTTTCGTGGTATATTCGCGAAGCCCGACGTCAAATGATCCAAGAATTTCTGGAGCAACGTCATAGACGGTCATTCTCGTTTTTGTCATCAACTGTGGATACAATCGGGCCATGTCTTCCACGATAAAGTCGTGTCTACGTTTAATAGATCGAAGAGCCAGTTGTGAGTTTTAATATGGATAATAAAGCATAGGCCTTTGATGTGCCAAATGGCAAAATGCGCAAATGACTAAAAGAAAGAAAAAATAAAATTTTTTCTTAACATCTGATAAATTAGTTTCGGTTTTCGATAACGGCCAACGTTTTGCTAGTCTTTGACGGTTGACACTGTTTTTTTTTCATCGTTAACGTTAATATACCTACAACTCTGCACTGAATTCGATTCCAGTAGGCCCACCACCGACGACAACGAAATGCAACGCTCCAACGATTTCCTCGTCCGTAACGCCCGGCTGAGAAGCTTGTTCAAAACATTCTATTACACGTTGGCGGATCCTACGCGCATCCGAGATATCCTTTAGAAACAACGCGTAGTCGCCTACACCAGGAATGCCAAACGTGTTGGAATTGCCGCCGACCGCAATGACGAGATTATCGAATTCGACTGTGAACTTGTCGCGTTTCCTTTCGAGATTTGATGTGCAGTGAATCGTGTTTGTAAGCCAATCTGAGTGATATTAAAAAAATTTTATTAAAAGATGAGAAAGTTGGCCCTTATGTAGGACATCGATCATAGAACGAATTGGCAAAACGCTTCTCATCAAAAAAGTTAACCACGTCGTCGTCAGAGCCTTTTTTTTTTCTTCTCTTAATAAAACATGCGAAAAAAAAATTTTTTATCTCACATGCCAAGTATAAACGTTATAAAATTTTTTGCGTCACAAGATTAATTTGTCATGAAAAATAAGGGCAAGTCTTACGAAATACGACGGTTTTTCTAGCGTCTTTTCGCGACAGATGATTGTTTAGGAATATGGCACTTGAAGTTAAGCGCGCAGTTACAATAAACTCATGCATCACACAATTCATTAATACTCTTGTCATGTTTTACAACACAGTGATCGTTATTACTCACCAACACTATCAGCATACGCCTGGTAGAACTTCACATTGGACAAGTATCTTCTTACCGGCTCGGTAATGCATCTAAACTCTAATGTGCCGACCGACGTGCTAGCGAGTAGTGGTGTGAATACAAAATAGTTTCTATTAAATTCACAGATTTAGACTGGTTAGTGAAGGAATGGGCAATGCAAAATAGGCTAGATTACAGAATAGAGAATAGAGACCTTGGAGAAATAACTACAACTTCATAGTGTTTCGTGTCAATATCTTGGAGAAGTTTATACCCTGCGAAAAAGAATATTCAGACAGATCGATGAGCAAACTAATGAAGGATACAGTCAAGCCGTGACTTGATGTCATTGCAAATTACCTGCCCATCCTGACCCTGCACTCGGCATAGATCGTTCATAAAAAAATGTCAAGTTATTTCGCTCTTGTTCTCTTTTTGATTACCGATTTATTATACAGATATACATATATTTTTTCTTCTTACCAAGTATTACCAACCGTCCTAATGTGAGCGAATCAATTGAGTATTATATTTCCATGAGCGATCAAACTATTTATCTTTAATCGCCTTTACCTTGAGTCTTTCCGATTGATTTGATAGTTCGTGTTTGAATGTTAATTGACGGTTTGTCAATACCAATGAATGGCCTTCGAGGATGGAAATATCGAGGGAATAATACTCGATGCAGAGGCAGTTGAAATTGAGGTGCTCTCATTTTTGCTGATGTTTGGTCTTAATTGTGCTGTGGATAACAGATCAAGGCTACCGATATTATTAAATAGACTCTGATTTGCGCACATATTTTGACACATTTTGACAGTGTTAAATAAGTAGTAGCCTGTGAAAGCTAAAAGTGCAAATACATCATCATCATTAAAGTTTCAGGGGGGTCGATATAGTAACGCCACCATAATAATGACGCCAAAATGCACAAATGATTGGACTGCCACATCATGAAGCATGTGACCGTTATAACACCACCTCGCTCCTGCATGGGACTTCACCAATTAATCGAGACGTTATTCATGCACATGTCTAAAATGCAGTGGCCATCGAATAAAGGCAAAACCGTATGTCTAGCGTTACCGAAGCATTATTGTTATGTTCCGTAAACAATCAACCACATACACAGGTAATTGTATGATGAAGAAAGCCCTTGCCCCGTTCTCCTTAAGCAATCACATGACATTATGCATCATCAATTTTTGCATTCTTTACAAGTTGTATTTTTTTTTCCTGATCGTGTTTTTGCAATACGATCTCCCGACAACTGTAATATGCTGGCTGCAAAACGTAATTTACGCAATGATTTTTAATACGTTTGATAATCGATCTGTAGAGATGATTCGCTAAAAGTCATAAATGTCGGAATTTTGTTTTGATTCTCAGGCTGCAGAAGAAATTCTCCTGTTTGTATAACATGTGAACGTTTGTGCTTGTTTTTGTGATACTGGGACAAAATCAAAAAGATTGCAGGAGAGTAGAAAGAGGGAACCTACGAACAAAGTGTTAAATTTGCCAATCAGTACTTACGATTGACATAAAGAAGAACCCATTCTTTTTTGTATTAATTGAATAAAAACGCGTTACTTGACGTTGAAAAGAACGATTTTAATTACGAGCGAATATTTCCCACACACCCGTTTGCAATCTACCGAGTTCCGCCGAAAAGTCTGTGCTACAAATCTGAATTGACGAGATGCAAAAAATGATTCACAACTTTCGAGTTTGGATTTAAGTATTGTCTGCAGGAAGGTTGATGATTTCAATATTTGCGAGCCTTTTATTATACTCTAAAAAAGTTTAATGCAGGGGTCCCGTCAGTGACAATATTAGTGATACCTTTACATCAACATCTGACTGTTGCCGTTGTTACATCCGATTGCCCGAAAGAGTGTCTCATGTACTTAAGGAGAGTATACAATTTTAAGGATATCCAATAATGTTTGCATATATACGTGGTAGTGCACTGTGCAGCAGACAATGCATTTGACTGCTCGAATACTTTGGTTATTTAGAGAAAAAGCGTTTCCAAACAATCTTGGACCTTAAAAAAAATCAAATGGTACTGTCAGTTCTTTTATTTACAATTAAACCGTAAAAATATGTAAGATGTTAGGGAGGAAGACAAACAAGAAAAAAATAATTAAAAAGTACGACAAGAAAGTTGGGATGTAAGTTAATAACCAATAGATATTTTTATCTACGAAACATGTTACAGCAGAAATTTTACAACACAAAAATTAGGGTTTACCCATGTGTGCTCAATAAAGAACGCTTCAATTTAATAATACATTAATAATAGAGGACATCGTTTAATTATTCAGCCATTTGGCATAATCCATCTTTCCATCAAATTTGATGTCGTACTTTAACAAACTATTTGTTATTGCACATGACAATTAGTAAAACCGTGATTCCAAACATTTTATTCCGTTACGGGAAAGTTAAAAATTGCAGCTTGCATGAGAAAAAAGCACTGCATGGATGAGTGACTTCCTGTCTCACAGAGAAAAGATTATTGTCGGTCACCGCGTCCCATAAAAACACTTTGGAGTTGTACAAGCATAGTCGAATATCACCGAAAAGTAACGTTACTATTGACACTGCATGGAAAAAAATTTTTTTTTTTCAAAATATTAATGCAAGATGGAACGGTTGATTTGTATAGTATGCAGCTTATAATAGATAAACATTTGAATTCTTTGTTCAGCCCGTTCTTTGAGAGTGTTCGTTATGACGGTAACCTAGCCTCAACCGCTAGTTCAAGGTTGAGCTATCTGCTCAAAATAAAAACTCTCTGTGGGTTAACCGATTTTTTCCAAGACATGGATTTGCTTCAGCAAACAAAGGATCAAAGTGAAATGTAAGTACCCGTGGGATTTATATTTTCTGATGCCATAATTTACTCAAACGATTGAAACGCTTACTAAAAATAATAGATATTAATATAGCAAATACATGTCGACAAAGTCTCAATATTGACAAATCAATATTATTAATATCGAAATTTTATTTCAAGGCGTTTAAGGTTTTTAACAGATTTGGCGTAGACAATTCCTACAAGTTATAACGGTTCGTATACACCCAATTTAATTAACCAATATATTAATACAGTCGACCCCTATAATTACGTCCTATATAGTCACATTTCATAGTGATAAGGCGTTCGTAGTTTGAGCTACGCAAATATTAATTGAAGATTATCTAATAAAATTGCAGATTACTTGATATAAGTAGCTTATTACGCTATCCGTTATATCGTGAAAACTCGATATAGCGGATCTCTCGATATAACGGAGAAAACGGCCGGAACCGTAGTCTCCGTTATATCGAGTTTTTCACTGCGTATTTGGTTTTCACGTCGCTTATATGCTGCTTGTAAAATATCGTGAAACTGCTTCTTTAAAAGTTTCAATAAATTAGAATGTTTGATCCCATAATTGATGTGTTTTCGAACAGTTGAAGAAAATTGACTTTGCGTAATCATATCATATGCATAGGCGCAGTTTTTTGCAAAATACGACCTTGAGTGTTGAAAAAAACCATACACTTTGACCATTAATGTTAGGATGGAGTTGGTAAAGTTCTTGCAAAGCCTCTATTTTAGGATCTTTGGGCCTTGAGCGTTTCGTTGTTGCGTGATTCGTCTCTTTCTCTGAGCTTTGGCTTCTCTAAAACAACGGAGAAACGTTTATTAACTATGCTACTACTGTCAATATATTTCTTAATCCCCTTCTTCGTTCTCGCTTATATATAAGACGTAACTGCTTTCAGCACACGATTCACTTTTTTGCAGCGGATTTACTATGTAATGACAGTTTTTGCGTCAATGATCATTGTTGTGTAACCCCTAGATTATCGCGTACTGAGCTTTTATTATTATTCGGTAATTACCAAGATATTCAGCTTTACGTTTTAGGATATCATGTACAGTTCGATTCACCAATTTAAAATTGAGCTACTATCATTTGGTTGTTAATGTTCTGATTTTCTCTCTTGATATTACACAGTTCAATCCTCTCAGCAATAGTTGTTTTTTTTTTGTTTGTTTTTTTGTTTTATTTCGATTCTCTGTACGCACAATAGGGGTTTTTCGCTTTGTTGGTTAATAATTGAGAAATAAAATTAAATTGCAAGTGTTACTGATGAGTTCTTTAATCTTCGGATTAAAAAGGTAACTTTTAATATGTCATCGCTCCCACTTAGATTCGGATTACGGATTACAGTAATTTTATTATAAAATTTAGGATTATCGAGGTAATATCATTATTAATTAATGAATTAAGCTAATCCATTCCGTGAATTTTCTACTACCATATAAGACAAAATACACTTCATGTCCTAGTCGTAACTCGCAGACTATATTTTAATAATCAACGTGTTTAAATGTCATCCGTTAAGTATAAAAAAAATTTACGATTAAATTACTGTCTTTGCGAGAAACAATGTATGGTAGTCCGCGGCAATTTGATAACAAGACTTTGGTAATACTACGAAACGGGATTGTGTATCGATATCAAGTTGATGTTTACGTCTTATCAGCTTTGCAAGATGCAAATAATATTTTACGAAGCGCCAGTAAAACTGAGCAGATCGTACATATTGTAAAGAGCATATCAATGTATTGTTAAGACATCGTTAATAATACATTACCGTCTTCCTTAATATTTTCGCAACTACGGCGTACCGAGATTGTTTATTGTATTGTGACGAGTGTTCTATTTTGACTGTAAAAAAGCTGGGTCAGCCCTACCCATATTATATCTCATAAAATAAATGCGCTGCGGAATACTCTGGCGGGTTTTAACTTTACAATAACAATATTAATATAGCTTAACTAATACGTGATTTAATTAAATTTTATCGCAAATATATCAAATATGAATTACATATGTGAATATTGTTAGTTTGCATTAACGAAACTTTTGGTGAGTGGGAAAGAGTAAAGTCGGTCTTGCCTGCAATATTTTAGTGTGAATAATCTCCTACGATTTTCAAGGCAGAAAATATTTCAAAGTCATAAATTGATATATTCCCACATTGTAGTTTATAGTAATATGCTCCTACAACAACATTAGCTATTTGCTTTTCTTGCAATCATTGGTGATGCAAAAAATAACCATTGAATATCGTGCATTTTATGGCAGTTTACTTGATTTCTCTCCAAGAGTGAACAACTTTCTTTATTCTCGTCCTGTATGTGGCTTAACAGATCTTTAGTGAGAATCTTGTTGTGGACAAAGTTTCCCGGATCTGTTTTATGCAAATTTCGTAGTATGAATGCCTTGTTTCGACAAGCGAATGTAAGTAATCAAGTACAATTGTAAACGTCATAACCATACATTCCTCGATAAAAGGAAATATTCTCAAGAAACGATTCTTGTGACCAAAGTATTAAGGCCGTGGTTCGAACAGCACGTGAATTACAAAAATACGTACATTTTGCTGTTAGTACGTTAAATAAACTAATTTGGATATCCACAAAGTAAACGCGAGCAGGCTTGTGTTCCACCTATAAATTTTTGCCACACAATGTGGTGAACAAGACAACAAAAACAATTCATTGTTGCTAAGTAGTTCTTTTTCAAATAACCGCAGTGTAGAATACCACCAAGTAATAGTAATAGGGGAAAACCACTAATTATTATGACAATTGCTGCGGATCGAATCCTAATTTAGCTAAATCTCAAAATCAAGCCTATAAGCGGCACGATCATTGACATTGTCAAACTTGTATATCAACGTTACTATCACAATTGTAGTCACATTTTTATGCTTAAAAGCTAATTCAACATAATCATACGATTGTCTTGTTATGAGCGGACTTATTTAAAAGCAGTACAAAAACATGTTGTGCATGGTGCATATAAAAACCACTTTGGAATATATAAAAGTAGCGTGAAAAAAGGGGAGTTAGACTTTTGTGCAATTCGTCGAGTATCGAGGAGAAGAAGAAGAAGAAGAAGAAGAAGAAGAAGAAAAGGATAATCTACTAAAGTAAGACGTTATATTTAGCAAAAAAGCATCACACGAATAGAAACGGAATATATTGTTTTATCCAATCTAGTATCATATTTGTCTATGATACATACATACTGTACATATATACATAATGACTCCCTGGAAAAGACGTTTTATATGTATTAACTACTTCTCTCTGCTCTCACATTATCGTAGAATTCAACTATCAAGCCAGCTATATCGCGCGCCCTCTATAAGCCAATATACACATGCAAATCGTATGATTCAAATTTTCTCTCCCCCATCCATTCCGAAAACACAAAAGCCCTTGTCTTATTGTTAAGCGTCATTGTTGATAAGAACAATCGTAGAAATCAAAACATTTTTATTCTATTTTCCATTGAATTTGCCAAACAATCACTCGATTCGGAGAAGAAGAACACAATTTGGAAACAGCGATAACTCGTCTATCGTTTAATGGGACTTTTGACCCTTTAACATTGATATCTTGGTATTAATACTAATAATCAACATTGTTTAATCAACGAGGTATTAAATGAACCAATCGCAGCCGAAAACCTTCTACCAGCCAATGGTTTCGAGGAATATTCTCAATACGATGCAATTGAATGATCCAATGACGTCATTCACAGGAACATCAACAACTCCAACTGCGAATACGTATAAATCAATGGCAATGCAACAATTCTTGACCACACAAAATCCACGCCTTTACTGTCAGCAGCCATTAAATTATCTACAGGGTCCAGTTTATCTGTATTCGCAGATCAACGATTGCGAGTCAGCATGGCATTCAGATCCACAGCCTTATCTCCAACCTCCACCGAATCATTTATCGCTCATTGATCATAACGCTCAATGGATCGCAGCTCCCAAACCCAAAGATGAAAATCGGTCATCCACATCGCAAGTCCGCTCATCGACGTCACAGCTGATATTACCCACACCCGCAACCGCAACCGCAACCGCAACCGCAACCGCAACCGCAACCGCACCCGCACCAACCGCCCCCCCAACTGCCCCCTCAACCACATCCTCGTTCACTCCGCAACAGACACCGAAACACCTGACTTCCCGCAGAAATCCAAATACTGTGCATTTCAAACATCGCTGTACTTGGTCAGGCTGCATATGGTCTTTTAAACGACTCGAGCATCTAAAGAGACACATGATAACTCACACCGGAGAAAGGAAATACCAGTGTGACTTTCCAGGATGCGGGAAGCGTTTTGGCAGATCTGATAATTACGCCGCCCATCGCAAAATACATGCACGACGTTCAACTGAAATGGTGTTGGTTGATGGAACAGGGGTGAGACCGAGTGGATATATAAAGACTGAGGAATAGTTGCGACAATGGCTGGTATATGTTGGTCGAAAAAAAAACATCTGGAGATATTAGAAAATACAAGTACAGTCAAAACTAGCATTATCCGATGGTTAATCTTCTCCGTTGCATCACTGAAACGGAAAGTTTGAAATTCTTTTCTTTTCCGAATCAATTAATCATTTTCCTTTATCGGAAACCAAATCATTAGACCTGTGGGTTCATAGTGATAGTGGGTATATATGAATTTAGCTTGGGAATATTCACTAATCGATTCAATACAATGTGATGTAAACATTTCCTCCATTGGAAGAATAAATAATGAGTCGAACGTGAGAAGCCGCCGTAATAAGTTTATGTTTGTTTTTGACTTGCGGATTGCACCCCAACCTTATTTTCGCACACAACACTCACTGCACTGCAAGTCTTGAATATCGTTAGGAATGTAGGGAACAGATCACTTGACTTTCAGACAATGCTACCATAGTTAATTCTATATACATTGTGCTTTTAAAGATCCCTATAATTGTTGATACGACTGATCTTCTCTAAACGTCCTTGGACATGGTGTATTGGAACGTTTTACTGTTACCTTCAAGATCTCTTTTTTGATTGTCTTCCAGTTTGCGCGAGAATCGTAATTACTTTTTCGTCTCAATCGACTGTGGCAATTTTTAACATAAAGACTTTATCAGTCGATCCCATAGATTTTTTGACTTGCTTGAACACGATGCCCCGAAAAATCGATTCAAATAGTAAAGTTGTTGGAAGAAATTGCTTTGCTAATAAAGGTGAAGTACAAGTATATTGCAAAGGTTTTTAATCATGGTCGGCAGGAATTACAATCATTAATTAAGAATAATATTATAAAGTCGATTAAAAATAGATTATCTAAAAGTACATTAAATTGCTAAATATAAAAATTCTTCTAGAAAAATTCCATAACCCATTATCATTACTATTATTACCAAAATTTGCGTTTCTTCTCGTCAACATTATCTGCGTTTCCCTCTTCATCTTCACCAGTAGAGCTAACATCAATTCTCTCTTCCAATATTCTACGGCTATTAATATCAGTTGATGGGAATGCCCTTTTTATAATAAAAGGCGGACCGTCTTTGCCGTCAACTCTTTCCAATTTCCGTAGAGAATTTTGTCTGTGAATAGCCTTCTCCGCAGTGTTTTCATCGGTTTCGGTATCTTCTTCCTCGTCATAATAATAGTCGTCATCCTCCTTGTCCTCGTCGCTATCGATGGAAGTTCCACCAATATCGTACATATGATTATTTTTACTGGGGGCAGCATAATCGCGAAAGTCTATGCTTTTGTAAAGGGGTGTGAAACGGGCGAGTGCATTGCCAAACGTGTCGCCAACATGTTGAAAGGAGAATCGATGGCTCGGGGCGATAGAAGTTTGACGTGAAACAAAAGATTCGTGGCGTGTCGATGGTAACTGGACTTGAACCTGATGATTGACAGTTGGTTCGTGATTGTTCTTGGTTACTACGAACGGGATGTTAATATCTTTGACCGCTCTCTTGATGAGGACGTTGTATACGTGCTACAAAAAATGCAAAGGGAGCATAAGTAATGATGCCAAATAAAGAACGAGGAAAACAATGGAAACTGAAGGATTTGCGCTTACTTCTTTTTCGACTCGGAAGAAATTCCACAGGAAGCGGCTTTTTTTTCATTGTTGAGTTTTTGATCAAAGTATTGATCAATTATTATGGGAGTACATAAATGATTGATTAACTGGGTTTTTTTTCCTTTTAAATCAAGCTTACAAAACATACCGTAATACTTCTGTAATGGCCAACGTTATCATTACTGATATATGGTGCCTTTGGTCAGTCATCCACGCCAATCTCATTAAAGTATTGGAGCCAATTCCGACGTAGTAGAGCCAAAGGGGCTTGAACTCCAAATCTTCTCGCAATCCGTAATTTGGTGCAGACCAAACTCGTAGGAAAGCCCAATCCATAGCCATGTCCCAAAAATTTGCAAGAATAGTATTAAATATATGCACCAAGTACCAAAAGACGAGCGCGTCTAAAATAGGATAAATGTGAAGAATTCAAGTTGGAAAATTATTAAAATGCGTTGCCAAGACAATTGATTGTGCGAACACGTATGTTATCTTCTCACCTCGCGTGTTCACATGTAGTATCCAAAGTGGTATCACAATAGTAATATATTTCAATGCATTTAACAAATGAGGGTGCGCCTTTCTAGTTTTAACCCATCTTTGCAAGCATTGAAAAAACCGTATCCACGCGGGCACGGTTGCCATAAAGACTGCCCAAATGTTTCCGTTCGAAGAACATTTCCCTAAGAAAAAAACCATCTGCCGTTAATTTGGAAAGATTAATGACGCTCACATGCAAGAGCGAAATAGGCAACGGAAATAAGAACAATAAAGCCATCATGTACCATCACTGATTTCTTTCGAATCGCTGCTAAGTGCACAAATGAGGATCGCAACGTTTGAAAACGTAAATTGAAGACTAACTAGTTCATCTGCAAGAAAGAAATCGCGAAATTCGACACCATAGACGAAAGGCAAGCATACGCGGAGCTAAGAATATGAAAGTATCAAAATTAATAACAATGAGGTAAATAATACAATATAATTATTGCCTGTGATGTTTTAATTTACCATAGTAACTATAAGCCATCGCCTAACGTTGTAGTATAATATAGGAAATGGGCAGAAGAATACTAAACCAACGGCGATAAGAAAGCCCACTAGGAAGTATAAAGGCGGAACAGACGGAAAGAAGTTTGCGAACGACAAGTAAAAGCAGATAGCGAGCAAAAGTAAAAGGAGTGATGGAAACTGCGTGAAAAGTAACGATAATTAAAAATTAGTTCCGTTGAATTGTATAGTAGCAATGCAAACAAATGGTAGACTTACTTCTAAATATTCTCTATGATCCATGTTGTCTCTAGTATCAAAGTCAAAAATAAGCTTATAGTTAATCTTTGCTTTCGCCCAGACAATCATATTGATTCCCACCAATAACGCAAGTACTATGGGCGCAGCTACCGCGGCATATATTTCAAGTAGCAGGCCATAGTTGCAAAAATTATGAAACGTTTGTTGCTCAATCGGGCTTAGGGATGCGTCGTCATTGATCTGACAGGAGTGTGCGATACCGTTTTTATTGACAAATTCTCTTCTATTCATAACTGAGAATCAACGAGTTAGCGTAATCATAAATTAGCGTAGCCGTTTGTAGGAATGCGTTGTTAAAAAAAAGAAGAAGCAAGTACCTGAATGTATTCCCATTAGTGTCAAGTTAATTGCCATGCCGAGATATACACCCACACGCCAAGTAACGAAATAGTACGACTATGCAATGACAAGCAGGTTAATTTGGATCTTGTCATAATCGAACAAGCGTATTTGCGGCTACTTACTCTCGCTTTGTCTGGCATCCGTAGTCTCTTTATAGCGTGTTTTCTCATACCATCTGAAAAGCTAGCCAGATAGAAAGACTAAAGACGCAAAAACGCATATTAAAATGTGTAAATTGCAAAGATAACTAGTTGATAGGACAATAACATGGACTTTTACCTCGGTTTGTTTGAGTATGCGTTCGAGTCGTTTGAGATTACTGAAATTTGCCGCATCTACTTTGCGCATATAAATGTGGCTTACTTTCCAATTTGTATTCTAAATGTATGTCAATATGTGATAACGAATAGGGATGCAACAATGTTTGGTTGATCAAATTTACCTTGTCATATTTTTTAAGTATTTTTTCGAATCCTAACCTATTGAATTGCTATTAATCGAAAAACTGTTATTAATTTGTAACTATTAAGAAAAAACCTTTTTCTTCTTCGCAAGCCATCCCCGTAACATAATACTCACAGCATATTTCTTAAGCATTTGTAAGCTTCGGTAGAATTCCATCACTCCCATCTTGATTCGTTTCTTCGCTACGCCATAACTCATCGGCACTGGTTTTTTTTGACCGTCAGCAGTGATAACTTGAACTACACGAGTTTGTTCCGCGCCAGGTTGTTGACCGGGGGGGGGGCCGGATAATAGTCATAATCATCAAAGTCTATACCCTGCTTTAGAATCTTCATCGGCTTAAATGTGTCCGGTTTCGTGCCCTTTATAAAGTGGATAACAATAAGGCTGATGGTAAATTATATAGCATTCATATTTGAGACATGACAGCAATCGCTGTATTCTATGGGAATCAATTTGTTTCTGATAAAATTTTGTCTCTGTAAAATTGGTCATGCATTGTTGTTCGTTACCGGCATACCGTGTCGTGCATTGCTAAATATAGACTATGCGCATGATATCACGTGGAGTATTCACTTACGGTTGATTTGCCTTTCTTGCGTTCATGCTTTAACAGTTTATATGCTTTTTTTAGTTCCCTCAATTTTTCACTAGCATAATCTTCGTGACCTATACAAAAATAAAAACAGCGTTGAGAATATGTATCATATTGTTCTTGTACAAGCACACAGAACGGTTGATAAAAAAATGTAGACATTTACTTCCGTAAAACTCCCATATCTTTTGTAATTCTTTATCCAATTTCGAAAAAAACTTTTGCTCACTTTCATTCAACATTGGTATTACCTCGTCCATTGTCATATCATCCTGTATAGAACTCTGACCTGGTGAGATATGCCATCTCTTGTTAATTGTAATCCGTAATCTTAAAAACAGTTACAATCAGTTCACTGGGTTCTCTTACAAAATGATGAATTGGCATTAGACCTGATATCCGTTTTGGTAGACCGCCTTGACAGTTTAGCAAAGAAAGATCCGGTCATGTCACTCAGGCGCTTTTTGCTTGTATGCATTAGATTATCGTTTAACGCTGAATTTAGATCAATGGCAGGACCGAGCGAGGTCGGTGATTCAGATTCAGTGTTCTTATGATATTCTTTATCAGCGAATTTGTATGATTGAATTACTTCTTTTAGAATGTGTTTAAGTTCATTATAGTCGATGTACATCTTCTTCCACTCAGGAACTGATTCCTGAGCGAGTATTTTTCCGAACTTCATAGTTCTAATTGTACAAACGATCGAGTGTCGCTACGAGTTGTTAGCTAAATCTTTGACCGATATATGTGTTTTAATGGGAAGGGAGGAATTGAATATTTGTAAGCTCATCTTGTACTATATATGCGTGAGTAATTTGAGTACATAAACGGTGGCATACGTCAAATCTTGTCCTATGGGAAATAATTGCTGATTGCACCCACACCATATATGAATAAGAATACCTTGATTTCATATGTTATCAATTCTACGAAGATCTTCATTCGCATTTACCAGTAAAAAAGAATTCTCACACATCAAATTTGGCAATCTTAAAATTCCACCCGCAAAAAGAAGAGAATAGTGTCATATGCCCATAGCGAGTGGAGACAATTGGTGTGTTTTTGTGTATCAAACCAAATGAGACATGAAAGGCAATGTCGCAATGCCAACTCCCTCCGATAGCATATAAGGACTGTCGTTGTATTATATTAATATTGGCAAGATTTACAGAATAAAGTTACATGTTCTCGTACTCCCGATCCGATCGGTAAACGAGTCAAATTCGAGAATTCCATTTGTTGATCATAGAAATTTTTAAAATTAAAAAATGTATATCACTCGGGGCGTCTGTGATCCTAATCAAAAAACTGTTACAAAGATGAGCTGTAATAGGCTAGCCCCAAACGATCTTCAGCATTAACAAATTTATTGCGGAATGTATGAATGCGATGTAAACTCAATACTCCGTAATACATAAACAAATCTATTATATATGACATATCCAACTTGTTTATGAACGATCCTTGACATTTATTTCTTGCTGTTCCTTTGATTTTTAATGCTATCTCGGGCTCTCTCGATTTCAATGTTCAGGGCATACACCCATTCTTCGCATTCTGCCCGATTCCTCGCTCTAAAAATCCATCTTTTGCCAACAGAATCCAATTTGACTTTCCTTTTCAATGCGATAGACGAACCCTGTTTTCCAAAGCAATACCTCCTTGTGTTTTTCCAGATGACAAATGTGCAATCGTCTTCTTCATCAATGGAAAATGTTTGATCACCGTAGATACATGGCAGATCACTATCGGCAGCAGCTTTATACCATGCGTTTGCAGGATAAGTAAGATCATCAGCTACACTCCCAGAGTATGCATAACAATCATGTAACCTTATGATTCCTCTACGCTTATGATGAGTGCAGGGAATAGCACGCCCTGATATACGTCGACTATGAAAGTCATAATACAAAAGATTATCACAAGCAAGAATGAAATGAAATTTTTCGAAGGTATATCTCAAGTGAGGCCGACAATAGAGTACACCTGATTTCTGTGCAAGTTTTGCAGAAATTAATAATGGGACGGGAGAAACATACCATAAGAAGCGTTTCATTTTTACTTACTGTTATGTCCCGACAACCATTCGGGATGCACATGTTCCAAATATATTGGTTAGCAAAAGCGTGAACGTGCGCTACTTTATCACGGACATTCTCGGTCCAGTATTTACTATCGTCGCCGTCTCCATAATATATAGACTGATTATTGGCCTTGGCAGTAAGTATTCGCTCTTTTGCATCAGCTGCTCTCCTAGCTTGCCAATATTTCACGAGATCAGAGAGACATGATACCCACTCTCTAGCTGTATCTGATGACTGAGCCTAACAAAAGAAAACGATTAATCGTCATATTCAGATCCACGAATACAATTAAATTCATAATTACCTCCAACTTAACAGCTAATTCATTCTTTAACGCCAACAGTATTATTCTTGAATGTCTGTCAGATGACGGTTGTTCCTCCGTGGGATTGGACAAATTATTACGGACAACTTGTGATAACTCAACACGTGTTACTTCTGTTAAATCAATGAAACCTAACGAATGTTTGATGTGATTGATGCATCTTTCACGATCACTTCTTTCATCCGATTGGCATTGTTGTTCGGCAGTTGCATTCATTACAGTGGTGACTGGAGATGGCGGTTCCTTGACAAATTTTGGTTTTGTGTAGAAAAGAAAATGATCGTGACTAGTAAAATAGAACCTTAAACCACGTTTATTCTCTCCTTTGCCACTTGTTAAGATTGTCAAAAAGCCTTCAACTGCGGCTGGTTCCTGAGATAATAAGTTGGACAAAAGTTAAATGTGCGGCCAGTTATTATAAAAATTAACCATTTCTTACATTCATTTTATTCCCATCTTTCAGCATTACGTCAGTAGGATAATGCGTAATGTGTCGCAACTGTAGTTGATGTGTCTGATACAATAATTGGTCAATTTTGACAATAAAAAATATCAAGTTTTGAATACAAAATCAAATCCAAGCCAATTAACACACACCTCTTCAATATATTGAGGTCCAACTATAAGACCCTTGCTATTTATATCGCTTGCATTAGTTGAACAGATCCACTCCAATCGATCGTATTTCTTCCAGCACAAGGCAACCTGATCACTTCCAAGCCAACCATCCAAAAGTTCACCCCACTCTTTCACAACTCGCAACTGCTGCAATACAATTTTCTTAACTTTTTCTGCCGTCATTTCATACGCATCATCGTATCCGTCCACAGGAATTCGCACATTTACCCCCAGATCAGGAACAAAAACATCACACGTGAGTGGTAATACCTTAACACAGCGTCGTTTGAAAAGACGGTGAAGTTCACGATACCATTCAAAATTATTCGCGTAGGTACTACTACGAAAAAGAAAGATTTCATCGTCGTGATGGCAGAGTCTTTTTAACGCTATCGTATAATCTATAGAGGAATATAATGACAAGCGCACGTCTTCCGAAAAATCAAATTCTTCTACTATAGTACTCTTTAAAAAGACAATTATTGGTTACTTTAATCTCATTCTCGCGTGAATAAGTCACAAACCGATACTTACTCGATTGCATATATTCAATTTTCCACGATAGAGCACCACCTTATATTCTTTCCATCCCATTGAGAATCGTGCAGTACGTCTCTTCGACCGCTCTTCGATCAATCCTCTACGAACGTACTCAACTCTAACTAGCATACGACCCTTCTTTAATACTGTGTCTGATGTTACCGAACTAGAACCACGTACAACTGGTTCAGAAAAAATGGAATCTGTTGTATCAGTTGGACGGTTCTCGACAACTGGAAAGTTGGTGGTGGGGGCAATAGGAGCAGATGACAATGACGGAGAAACAACACGATCTCTAAAATGATTGGTATGAGTAAAATATCCACGATCAATATCATCGAAAGTCACTGGCAGTAACTTGAATACCTTTCTTGTAAAGCGTCAGTGTCGAAAGTAGGTGGAGATACGATAGCGGGTGAAGATAGGCCAAAATCATCATTAGGAGAGGGTTGTTTCCAATGAGGTGGCGTGATTGGAGATGATCGAATATCTTCAGTGGGAGTTGCAAATATTTCAGAACTTGTTTGGAGATTTTGGCACTGTGTAAGGGCATCGGTGATTGGTTTAAAATCACTAACAAAGATTGTAGTTATAACCATACCATACGAGTGAGATAGATATCCATCTTATAATGCTTTATTAGATTTACAGTCTTGATACATTCTAACATATCCATTAATGAAATACCTCGACGATCGCTGTTCAACAGTGTCAGAAACGTCAAGATTAAGCGTACCAGCCACCTCAGACTCTGGCTTGTAGCTTAACCGTATTAAAGAAAAGTGACTATGCAGTCTCCCAAGAGGCTTCTTATTTTCCCAATTAGCTGAAATTGGTCCGATAAACATTCTACATGCTGTAGGGCGAATTGATGCCGGCACTGGTAGAGATTCATTAGGCATCTTGAGTAATTATGGATGCAAGGTAATAGTAAGGAAAGACTATAATCGGAACCGGTGCAGACCAACGGTTGAAGCTCAATAATAATGATGATGCATTTATGACATAGAAACGAAACAATTAGTATTAGTATGCCTGCTGCATTTTCACACGCACCTTATATTTGGATCATGTGATTATCACTAATTTTTCTGTCTTACAAACAAAGAATACTTTAAATTTCAAACGACCTTAAACCCTGTCTTCTCATTAGCAAAGTCAATGATTTGTTAATTAGTGGAAGGTAAAGTTCAAAGATGATGACGGCATTTTTCCATAGAGTATAATTCATATGGTGTCGATAGAAGCGATTGAGATAGAGTTTGAAATAGTTCTTCAAAAACGCGTCGAATTTTGCTTACGCTTACGAGAGACAGAAATAGGCTGGATGATATACATAACTGTAGATAGCGGATGCCTGGGTAGTCAATGAAGAACAGTCCAAACTACGAGTTCAATGGGAGATAGTGTGGGATGCAAGCGAAGGTTGGATTTGGGATAATAAGAGATTATAAACGGATTACCTTCCTTAGATGCATTCAAATTAAAACAATGTATCATAAATTAAGCCTGCTTTCACACAACATCATTTAGTAAGTTTGTTATCGATGCTAGTAAATTAAAATGATAGACTTTATCGTTTTAATATTGGTTTAGATTATTGTATATTTTTGATTTTCCTGTATCCTGCGGGCTAAAATAACAAATAATGGTTATTATACTAATACGTGGTTAGCCCATTTCACAAAGCCTATTATCGCCGACTAAGAAGGTTGATCAGGACTAAAATATTTATTGTCATTATTACTATTACATTATATCATTATCATCATTATTGTGACTCCAAAACGTCAAATTATATTATTTGTTGTTTGTGTTATCAGTTACTATTACTCGGAATTGATGTTATTTCACATGACCTATCAAAAACATTGTCGGTCTTCACGTGGGCCGTTTGTTGTCAACTGAAGACAGGTATGGGTTAACGTGAAGTTCTTGTCAAACTGACCCGCAAAAACAATGACAGTCAACCTCGCCACAACCATTGAATTATATGGGGAAATTGTCAAGCGATTCCCTTTCCGTCTCGACATTGTCGCATGGCTGGTTGCAGCCCTACGCGATAGTCGACTTTGGGGAGCATCCCGGGATGAAGACGTTCTAGTTCTCTCGGAGTACGTCGGAGCTTATGTATACAGTCTGGCCGCCGGAATAGTACCGAGGAAAAATTGGAGACATTTATTTGAGCTTCATCTTGCTTCCGGTGACATTTATGCTGCGAGAGGAGAGGTGACTGCTGCATACAGGGAATATAACAGAGCTTTCCGAGCTGCGTTCGGTGGCGAGGTCACTGAACTCGTAACAGTAATCAACAGAAAAAACACGGGCGCAGTCAAGATACTGTGCGCACCGTCCGAGTTATATCAATACAGTGTCGCGCTTTACGAAGCAATAGACGGACATTTATTCGGAGAAGTTGTAAATAGTGAGAGTCTTTTGCTAGTGGATAGCTTGCTTGCTAATTTTTTGGGGTTGCTTGTGAAGCATTGGGCTGTTCTTAAAGATGAGGTGGAAAAGACTGGCGATAGAGTAAACAGGGCTTTCTTACCATATCTCGTATATACGCGCCTGGTTTTACTCTATGAACAAGGCCTGCCAGCATATAATCCAGTGGTCGTTCGGGAAATTGCTTTGCACTTAGCCCGTGTGTTAGCGGACACATACGGCGGACAGGAAGAGCCCATAGTCTTTGGAAATAGGCAAATTCGAATGATGAACGGTGTGCAAGTCGGGATCGAGTATATCCGATGGCTTTGCAAGTTCGTTGACAATCAAGACTCGGCCATAATAATAGGAAGGTTTTTGCGAAATATGAGTATAGGCGACGCCAAAACATATTTTGAGGAACTACATGCTCTTGCTCCGGCCAATAGAATTATTGAACAAGAGCTAGCCAACACATACTCTGCGTTGGCTGCATTCAAGTCCGAAAATGACGAGTTTCATGAAGCCGTTCAGTTATGTGAAGCTTCAATAAGAATGTGTCCCGACTTGCCATGTTTTCTTCTTCAGTTCTATAACATAAAGTATACACACTGTGACTGGAACAACCTTGACGGCAGTGCCGCCCAGTACGTCGTGGATGAGAATGGTTGTCTCAAATCTCCTGGTAGTTGTTATGAGGGTCTAGCCGAAAGAGTTGTTGCCGAATTCGAAAAGTCTATAGGCAACGGTCAAAATTATGGTAAAGGCGTTCTCAAAGCAGTCGGTGGTCCAAGAAAATTTGTTGAAGAAGCTACAAAGAATCTCCATCCCAAAGATCCGCTCCGGATCGAATTGAAAAATAAGGCGGATCATTGGGAAAAGATAAAAAAGATACCGCTGGCAAACGAAGGCGGATGGGTTATTCGTGTTGTCGAAAAGGTCATCCGTGCACTGCAAAGAAAGTGGTATTGCGACAATTATGGTCGACAGTACGTTGAAATTTTCGGCAGAGTAAAGAGAATTCGAACTGGTCCCGAAGAAGAGGAGAAATATAAACGACCGACTCTCCCACCCATGCTTGAACGACCAGAGCCCACTCCCTTGGATCCGTTTACTGCGTTTAACGTTCCAATGGCGGCCAGACAAGTGCGTTTATGTGCACATAGATATGCTCTTGCGATATCGTACGACGTATTAAAAGCGGAATGCATGCCGAAAACGGTACTACCACCACCCCCACCCCCAGCACCACGATTGAAAATTGGTTACGTTAGCTCGGACTTGCATGGAAGACATCCGATGGCTCATTTAGTGTCAAACATGTTTGGAATGCACGATCGGTCGCAATTTGAAGTATTTGTGTATGCAACCTGTCCTAATGACGGATCAAGATTTAGGAATAACGTTGAAACTCAGCTTGAGCTTGGGCACGTAAAGGATGTTACATCACTTCCAATGGAGGAACTTGTTCAACTTATTCACGAAGACGGTATACATATTCTGGTCAATCTCAATGGGCATACCGCTGGAGATCGAAATCATCTGTTTTGTGCTCGGGTAGCTCCTATTCAGATACAGCATATGGGCTTTTGTGGTAGCTGCGGAGGAGACTGGATCGACTATTTCATAACGGATAAACATATAACGCCAGAAAATGTTATTGCATCAAACTTTAAGAGAGTAAGCTCTAGACCTGGTGACATTCTTGACTCGCCTGATCCAGAAGAAACGGACAACGACTGGTGTATATACGAAAAAGTAATTTTCATGCCCAATACTTATTTTGCTACTGATTATAGACAATCATTCAATGATATGGAAGAAATACCACAAAAAATTCGCGAGGATCCTGAGCAGTTATGGTTATATGAGCAAGATAGAAGATGGGATTTACGGAAGAAGTTATTTCCTAATATAGACGACGACAGTATAATTCTTGCGACATTTAATCAATTGTACAAACTAGACCCCTGTACATTCAGAATCTGGTGCAATATCCTGCAAAGGTCAGAGAACGCGTACTTATGGATACTCGAGTACCCACGAGCGGGGGCACTGAAATTAATAGAATATGCCAGAATATGGTGTGGTGAATCTGTTGCCAAGAGGATTCTTACCACTGAGAAAGCACCGAAAGACGAACACGTATACCGCACCAGGATTGCAGATTTGTTACTTGATATGCCAAAGGTCAATGCCCACACAACCGCTGCAGATACACTTTGGTCGGGTACTCCTATTCTTACTTGTTCAGGAGAAGTTCAAAAGACCGCTTCACGGGTAGCACATAGTATTGCTAGTGCGACTGGTGTGAAAGGGATGACAGTGACGAACATGAAAGAATATGAAGAACGCGCCGTTCAACTGGTCAGATCTGTCAAGTATATATATAAAGAATATTCCGCTAAAGATATTCCTAAGAGATGGCATCGAGTTGGAGAGGGTGAATTGATAGAAATGAGAAAAAAACTTTTTTTGGGTAGAGAAAAAAGTGCACTATTTGATACTCCTAGATACGTTAAAGATATGGAGAAAGGTTTTACCATTGCTTGGCGCCAGTGGATTAATGGGGAAGAGAAAAACATTGTTATAAAAAAAGATTGATAATGAACGACTAGTAGTTTTCTGTAAATTTTAATTTTCTTTTTCTTTTTGTAATTTAGTATTTTTGATTATTTTTTCCCCTGATAGATTATTAACTTGAATAGTTAGTGAAAAGATTAGTTTGGTGTAAGGTGTATGAAATCATGGATAATATTAATAACTATATGAGATTGATTATGTATATTGAGTACGTTAGTTAAAGAGTAACATATCAAAAGAGAGCAAAATGAGGTTTATTGGTTTTGGAGTGTGACCGAATAATATAGAATTAATTTATCATTATCTCAGATGAGTTACTAATGCTGTCATCTTTCTTTATCTAGATTTGAAGAAGTCGTTGGAGATCTCCCGGCGACCTGATCGACTACTAACATGTTTTAAGTTTCGTTTGCTTTGTCTTTTAATGTCTGCTACTTGGTCGTCTATATTTCGTATATCGTCTCACCTCTGTGTTCTCGCGTGATGAATAGATGTCGCATGTGAGTATGGAAAGAACGACGAGGTTAGGGGTTGCATGACTTTGCGTTTCTTGTGCGGCTATTGTTTGATAATATGAAAACAAACACTGTGTTCTAACAGTAAGACCAAAGTCTACGTTCTTGCAATCAATATCGTTCTTCTGCGAATTCTGTACTAAATTCAATCTAAATTGCACTTATGTTAACAGATTCTTGTACCAAAGATAAACAAAATCTTCTCCTTAAGAGTAACAGATTCGTTCTTGGGTACTCGAGATCTGAATATAAGGTGTTAATTTTATATCATAGTTATGAAAACGCTTGTCATATTTAGTATTAGTCCTTTAACATAAAGGGCTTTTCCAGCCTTACTAATGGGTTACTAATAACGAGTTTCTATTGCTAAAATAAAGCAATTGAAGCTTGGCCGACGTTCCTACGGGGCTTGGTAATCCATGAACTTCAGCATAATTCGCGAGAAATTTGAGATCATGGTCATACGCATGTTGGACAATAAAGTCGCGTCTCCAAATCATGTTACTGAAATTTGTCGCCCAATTTATTAAACGACTCGTGTTCTAGCTGGAGTTGAGCAAATCTTATTATTACTGCTCAAGTCTTCAAATGTATTCGACGCCTTCTTAAGAAATTCCTTATTATCGTTGCTTAGTCGTATTTTAATTTATCGAGTGGTTTTTAATTGTATTATCTTATCAATGGGTTTCGAGCTCTTTAATTATAATATTAATATTAAGTGACACATTGTTGATGAATATTGAGTCACACAAAAGTGACTATGAAGTTGCATCCATGAATTATTATCAGGAATACTTTACGAATACAAAAAGAAGAATTAGCAGAAATTTGATCATTCAAACAAGAGACCCACATGCCACTAGTACTAGTGCCAATTAATCTTATTAGCTTTTCTGATATCATAGTGTCATAGGAAATTGCCACTGACATGTAGAAGTTGATTCATTATTATTATTTCAAATTGATATGGTCAACTTTTTGACTGAATATTAATATATAATGCCGTGTACAATCTGTAAGACTACTTAACAGATTTGTAATTTCTTTCAGCCGAAAATCCACAATTATTAAGGCTGTACTAATACAAGAGCACTGAGAATGAGATGGGAATTTTTTTAAAAAGACTCATCATTTATAATTAATAATAACAATGAAAGAAATTCAATAAAATAAACAAGATGTACATTTCAACAGCACATGTGACAATTCAGACTAAATTATGATCACAGTACAATCTGACCAGAATAATTACCAAGTTCACTCAATACTAACACATGCACACTGTTTTTCCCTTTCATCACTAACACCCACACCATCATCACCAGACATTTCGTTCAATATGTGATTCCCACCAGATTGCTTGGGAATAAAAAAGACAGGTAATAGTAATAAGAGCAAGCAACTTCTTTATCACAAGTGCTATATCAATTTTTGGATGTTTTAGTTTAGAGTTTCCTCGCCACTCTAACTCTTTGATCCCTTGAATCCACCATAAATGTATGAATTTGAATCCTTACATATTAATATTTACACTTGTTATTGGTGCAGTTTGAGGACCAGACTAGTGAATGAATTTCTACTTTTCTTCAGTTATCACAATTCCATATTAATGGATTCTTGGTACTCTGCTGCAGTGTGTAGTTGCACAATATTTTGAACCCCATTGCATCCATGTTACCAGAACTATAATAATATTATTATAGCAGTATATTAATGTCACATAAAAATCAAGAAAATATTAAGTCTAATGCACATTGTGCCATTACTAGACAGCGAACGGTTTCTTGCTACGATCACGTGCAACTGGTAGCATATCAATCTTTTGATCTGATTGCGTATATTTCCAGCCACAAAAAGTAATTTGGGTAAGCATCGACAGTCAGCTAAGAAGCCTTTTCTCACACACTATAGATGACGTTCCTCTTACCAGAGAACGCTAATTTTGTCTACGCAATATGAATAAACTATGTCATTGCAAAGCCTTGAGGTTTCAAAACTTACGGTTTACAAAAGGACTATTTTCAATGTGTCGGCCATACTTTGTCTGTTAGGCCTACCAGAATGTGAAATTTTGTCTTCTCATTTTCTCGCATCTGTGCAGCGTGTACGGAGTTTATAGACTGTCTCGGTCTGATTGGTTCTCATCCGCTGTCCGCTATTCTCACGATGAATCATAATTTTCCCACCACTAGCGAAGTATTTATCTTTCCAATCTTCCAACTTTCGCATCTTACCTGTTCTCCATCACTAAACTTGTCCACGTTAAAATGTCCAAGCTCATTCTTATTTTTGCCGCTATGTACTTCCTCCTTTTAATCATCTCCATCAGAGGAGCTCCCATCGAAGAACGCTCTCCGAAACCAGTTCTGGATAAGACAAATGCTGATGTTATCATCGGTATTTTTCATAAAAATCCTCATGATAACAAAACCAACGCTGGGATTACTGTTGGGACTCATACGAAATAGATGGAAATAACCGAGAATATTAATATAAGAGTAATCAATTCGTAAAGATGTATTTGTTATTAATTTTGATAGCAAAGTCATTGTGAATAAAATTTGCGAATCTCAAAATATTGCCTAATTTTACACGTTAATATGAAATTAAATGACCAATCACAATTTGCATGTGTGTGCGTATCGAGTTCGGTGCAGCGGGGTGTCGCGCGAGCATACCTTTGGTTCTCCTGGAAAATACTTCTAAACACATTAGACCGATCATGGACAGCGAGGAGATTGTGTATATGGACATAGATGATGAATATGAGCTTCTAGACATAGCTGCTCAAATTGTTGAGTATCGACGAGATCTTGTTGATACCCAGCAAACGACCGTATGTATTATACCACGAAACCCGCCCGAGAGATTGAATTACCTATGCCGTTGCTAGTCAATAGTAAACCTTCTACGTCTTTTCTTTCCCCTGCGCGCTCTTCCCTTCTCTCTTAGCCAGCCGCTAGAATTAAAACATGATCAATCGACGTCGCTTTTGTCGACTATAAGCCCTTCAGATAACCAATTACTATCCTCACAGCTTCCACGATCTACTCAGAAATCTACGATTCCAAAAATTCCATCTTTAACTCACCAATTTATCGTAGTGGTCGATACTAATTTCCTTATAAGTCATTTGGCGTTTGTTCGGACCTTGATTACCTTGCATGCCAAAAGATACAACATTCTCGTGGTCATTCCATGGGTTGTATTACAGGAACTGGATGGATTGAAGAGCGCTCCCAGTAACCGACAGACGTATGCTGCTCAAAAATCAGATGGAAAGCAAGTACCAGATGTAAAGAGTCTGGCAAAGAGTGCTATTACGTATTTGCATACTTGTCTTGAGAACAAAGATGAATCATTAAGAGGACAGATGCTCGATGAAACAATCAATACAGTTGATGTAAGTTGGCAGAAAAATATTGAATTGGGGATAGGTTCGGCTTGGGTGACTGGCCGAATCTAATTAGTTATTAGCTTAAGTCATTTATAATAATAGTATCTGATTTGGATATAGTTAAACGATGATAAAATTCTTGACTGCTGCCGGTAAGTGAACGCATACTAAATTTGTTTTAGTCAATCATTCATTAGATTGGTCATTGACATGTTTTAATGTTTTTATGCAGATATTTCCAGACTGTGTCAAATTCAAATATCGTTTTGTTGTCGAACGACAAAAATCTGTGTGTTAAAGCGATGGTTCATGGTGAGAAATTAATAACAGGAATTTGACTGAAAAGAAAGTATTTAATATTTCCTATTTGAGCAGGAATTGGGACGGCCTCTTTTGAAAAAAAGGTTGGATTGGAGAACATATTGACCAGAATTATTGGAAGTAAACCAGCAGGTAATTGATTATCGTAATGCAAACACTTTCAGCAACCAGTATATGGCCGAAGGATTTTTCCCCCAAAAAAGATTCGTCTACTCGGAAGCAGGTTTATCACTTCTAACCGACATATCATACTAATTGCTCAATACTAGCTACCACACACATGCCTCCCGGCGGTCATATTCTGTCGACTACCAATTCAACTGAGGCTACAATCGATACGCCATTGCATAAATCTAACTTGGATATAACCGCTAAGCATCAGGTAGATAGTAGCGCATACTCACCTATGATTATTATCAGAAGACACTAAAATTTAAATTATTGGACAGATATTATCACATACGTACAACGAAGATACAGTAATGATGGATTGTGATGATGAAAATGATAACAACATGTTGAAAAACAATGATTACTTGACAATTCAGGGACCCAATTCCTCTTCTCACAATGTTATTGTTGGCGAGCTACACAAGACACCGTCCAATGAAATTGCAGCTGCCGTTCCCGTATACTTATCGGGTTATCCTAATAATCAGTCATCGCCACCAGTATGCATTCATCTCAATTCGTCTGCATCGGCCGCAGATTCTAATATACATGACACAAAAAAGCTTCAATCTTCCTCGCTATATGACTCGATGCATTCACCAAGGAATCGACGAAAGTCTTCAGCTTCAGTAAATTTGGATATAGATATGTTAGACAATCTATCCAACAGCCGAACTAACGTCCAGTTCGTCACGAGCCAATCTCCGTCCGGTCTTCAATCCAACGGCCGAGCTAACGTTCAGTTTGTCACGAGCCAATCTCCGTCCGGTCTTCAATCCAACAGCCGAGCTAACGTCCAGTTTGTCACGAGCCAATCTCCGTCCGGTCTTCTCTCACTTCACGATTCCATCCATGCCATACGCCCACAGTCTTCCCAGCGTTCACCTAATGCATACATAGCTTCGAGCTCGTCTTACGGACAGCTATCCCTTCTCGGACAATCCATCCTGAATCAACCATTTTTCACAGAACATATCGTGTCCGCTCCTCTAACGAGCGGTCAGCTAAGTTATTTGGAAACCATTCTTCCAACAATCGCAGATTTTCTTCGACCGGGGGTACAATTCTATTTATTACAATACCTTGGCTCAGATTATGTACAAACCATCAAGGAGCGTCAACCATGGACCGCTCAGGTTGCGTTGCGGATTATGGCAAGGTGTTATTGTTCTGTATTTTCTGATGTATTCAAGTTGAGTAGAGGGCTTACGTTTATAGAACAGATGCTGAAAGTAGCTAATTCTGTGGCTAAGAAGCGAGTCATCACTGTAGGCGAGCTATGGACATTTTTCAATGCAACAGAAGTAGTGGTAACAGTGCTGAATCAAGAGTTGGATGGGAAGAACGGTAATGCGCACATAAATAAGGCGGAGGTTATTAGAGAAATGGGGAGGAAGTTTCTAGATACAGTTGAGGGGGTCGTGACAGATCGAGCAATTAATTATACGCCACCAAGGTGACTGAATACAATGTACTGTTATTTAAGGTGTGGTAAATGGAAGATGTATAGAACAACGCCGTCGAGTACAGCTCAAATAATAATTAGATGCTACAAACCTAAAATATAGAGATGTTTCTTGTCCAGCAAGAACATTGGTAACTAATGAAAGCGTGTGTATATCTATTGCATCTTTTATTGGCATGATATCAAATACATTTTCGCATATGTGTACAATTAAATTGTGACAAACAGCACGCTAAACTCTAATCTATTAACTTTCTATTGTCTCCTTATATTTTGACCATCATTGCGCACGCGATCGATACATATTTAAAACGTCTCGTGCGACAGCAATGTGCCTCGCAAAATCCCTAATGTCATGTCTCTCTTTCCTTTTCAGCTTATCCCAAGTGTCAACAAAGTTGTCTAACGCATCCAAAATAGCCGATTTGGTCTCGTCCGATATACTGCCTCCCATTTCTTTACAAAGAGCCGATACGCATCCACGGGCAATTAGATACTTTATATGCTCACCATCCACATTCCGAGTAATCACACAAACAGCATTACATATGAGGTCTCGTAGTTCATCTTGATAGTCCGGTAATTCGTAACGATTTTCGAGAATGTCGATTAAATAAGGGATAGCATTAGCTCGAATTATCGCCTGCACCTGGTATATTGAACCAGCGGACGCTAGTTTACAGATAATTTTGTATGCAGTTTCTTGCAGCTTTGGACGCGTTAACGGGTGAATGAGATCCAAGAGAGTGGTTAGGCAGCCGCAATTAATGATTGTTTGACGTGTCTCAAGTGTTCCTGCTGATAGATTGTAAATACACTCGCCAACTTTCTCTTGAACGACATCGTTCCTACATAGAAATCACGTGTTAATAAACAGTACCAAAAAAAATAGAAATAATGCAATATTATGCTCACTGAAGTAATTGAACAAGTCGTCGACATATTCCGTATTGTATGAAGAATGAATGTTCTTGTTTGTGTTTGGATAATGAACACAATCCAGTTGTTATGTGCTTCAGCACTTCATCATCTTCAGTATATATATGTGATGCGAGGAAGTGATGTAATTTCGCCAGATCATAAGCCTACTTTGCATTGTCAACCATAACAACCCATAAACAATTACGGCGTAAATAACGGACACTCGGTTGATATAAAGCGTAAAAAGACTACGCTTACAATAATAAACATCCATTCTGGTTTAACGACTGTCGTTGCACTCGCTAGCGCATAAGATATTCCTCGGAGAAGAGGCAAGTCGAGAGAATCTTTTGTGAAAGACAGCAAAGGACTCAAATCATCAGGGAGGAAACTATGTCTTCCCATTCCGTAGTCACACCATTGATAAATTCGTCCAAGAGCAAAGAGAGCCTATTGGCAAACAATCACAATCCGGCATAGTAAGCATTCGTATTTGCGATAGAAAACAAACAAACATAGCGCGATAGAGAACATGTACCTTCTCTTGTACTCGTGGGGAAGTGTGATCAAGACATTCTATCAACGCCGACTTGGCATTCGCTTGCAGTACTAAACGTGTCCGTGCTCTAGAAGTACAAATGTTGCCTAATACTTCAGCAGCAAGGTACTAATCACAGGAATAGCAATCGAATAGTCAAGAACAATTATAACAAAACTGAACTATTCAGTCTTTATTACTTACTACGAGTCCAATATTCTTCGAGCGTAACGAACCAACTAACTTAGGCAAACAACCTAGATTTATAATTTTACAGGCGATCTGTGAATGGCTCTCCCAGCAACTTGAATTCCTTGTCATAAAAGCTATAGCTTCGGTTGCTCGTATTTGATCGATATACTGGTCTGAAAACAGTTTCATGATGGTCTTCTCGTCGCCGCCGTCATTTACGCCGTACTTGAATTTGCGTTGTTGTCGCTATTAAAAAGAATGTACGAATACATGTTGAGGTTGCGCAATTACTTGTTGGAAGAAAGAAAGTTCAGCTGACCAAAGTCCTAATTACAAGGGCGAGGTAAATGCATATGAGATTTCCAAAAGACAGAGACTAACACTCCTATCCTTATCTCTGCTTGTTGTTGACCCATCCCCTTCACACGCTGCAGTCGATGATTCAAGGCTTCTTACGAATTCACCAGCTGTTCTTGGCGTATAAGATTTCGTTCGTGGCATTGACCCTGTGCATTAAGTTCAGGAAAACTAGTAAGTACTGTTAATGTATAGTTGCCCATGTATGTGGCTGATTCTGTATGGTTCCTGTGGCTCAAAAATGTAATCTCCACAATGTAACGTGCAGTTCTTTCCTTTACAAGACAATAAAAATTCCTTGAAATAATATTAAGTACATATAAAGCATTTCAAGAATGGTCTATACAACGTTCGCGACGTTATTGAAAGAAGGGCAGTCAGACTTTTGCTGATAAATCGGTCATACTATTTCGCCAGGACGTCTGAATGGCTATGCCGTCTTTGACATCCGATTGGTACAGACCTTTCAGCAACAGCGGGAAAAACGTCCACAGCAGGCACGTTTTCAAAATTAGGCGGAAATGTGTCGTTTAAGATTAAAAGATACTAACATAATCTCAATATAGTAAAATTTCAACCAAAAACGTTTTCAAAAATTTGTCGGTTTGAACTAAAAAATATCAATACTAATAAAATCTATAAAACACTACAGTATGGTTAAAATGTGTTATCTGACAACGCCATATTTAAGATAAAATTTATGAACATTACAGTATGGTTGAAATGTGTTATTTGAACTATGCCATTTTTAAGTATTAATGACGTTTAGTTCGAATATCGTGATTCAAAAAAATTTTGCTATAAAAACGACCCGAAATTGAGCTATTGCTTCGCTGTCCAACAGACTTTATTATTTTAAAATGTTTGCTCTCACAAGCAAATTTATTCTCGGATAAATCGGAATTATCCTTTATTTTCTTTATTATAAAATCCACAACGATCAGCTGCTTATTATAAACAATTCGGCGAACAAAGTTACTTACCAGACGTCGAAAAATTGTGGAAGAACTTTTAAAAATCTGTTTGACAAAAAAGCCAGGCTGGATCCGAAATTTTCATTTAATCAAATGGCCACTGAAATCCGCGAATTACGCGAAGGAAAAGGCGTTGTAGCCTCCACGTTGAAAATTTTTTACAAACAAAAAACAAATCCGAAGAAGAAAACGCTAGAAGGTATCGAAGAATAGATTGATAGAATTAAAGAAATAGATGACAGTGAATATATTATTAATAATAGCGATAGTAAAGAAGATAATGAAATTTAAATTTGCACCAGAGTGACCAAAGAATAGAGTACACTCATCAATGGCTTTGGGTCCGAGTATTTTCCTCCCATGCAATCACTCTGGTGCTTTTACGTTATTTATACTTCAAGAGCGCGCATTCAATAATTGAAATAATAAAATTTATGCTTACGAAAAAATTGAAATATTTTTATGTAGTTTGACGTTTTAATTGCAATTGTGTAAAGGGAGCATTAAAATTAACAAGTTTATATTATAAATGAGCACCATTATAACTCATAATTATTACTTTTCAAAATGTCATCAGTCACACTGGTCAATTTTATGCCACATCATAACCAGCCTCTCATTTATGTCAGATAATCAAATGTTTATAGACATTGACTTTTTTTATTTGGATGTCTGAAGCGGATATTGTCTTTGATTTTATTTTTTCTGAAACATTAGAACCCACTGTTGAACTTCATATAAATCAATTCTGACATCAGCATTATACAATGCTGTAAGAGGAAGAGCTAAAGGTCCTGTATATCCAATTGCCCAAATTGCTGGATCATAAAATATGTCAGCAACAGGGATATTAATCACATATTTTGGGTCGTTTGCAACATTACAGCCAGTTATGCCAATAGGAGAACCATCTTTGTTTACAGTTCCAAAATGCCACTATCATATGGGGCAGACTGCAACAAAACCAGACAAAGTGAACATTCTATTATGTGACATAAATGTGAGGCTGATGTGGCTG